GGAGCCCTTCCTGGCTGTTGGCAGCCACATTAGCCAGATAACCATCCCTTCAGGGGAGGATCCACCAGAAACATAGCCTTTCCGTGGCATAACTGGGACAGGAAGGGCATTCTAACCTCTCTGCCACCAAACCCCAGCTCCCGCAACCCAGCTGAAGCAGCTACTGTGCAGCACTCCCCCATGAATATAGCACAAGGATATTTAGGGCCAGTGGCCCAGGACATCCTTGGGGAGCCATCAGAGCACAAGGATTAAGGCACCCCTTGAAGGGGTCTGGGTTCCCTTCCTGTCCTTCCCCCACGGGGCAGGGCCGTGAACTTGGATGTATTGCTTGCTTCTTACCTGCAGCCAAGGTCTTCAACAAATAGCCCATAAGACCAAGACTCCTCTTCCTCACTGCATTATCCTGGCACCTGGAGTAGAGCCCGACACACGAGGGGGCGCTCAGGAAGTGTTCATCGTCTGGGTGAATACCTTAAGTCTAGTTTACGATTCATCATTTCTGAAAAGCCACAGAAGGAGTGATGCTGAAATTCACCAACTTAAAACAGCAGCGCATCTCTTCAGCTTGAGGAGGCTCACCATGTGTCTGGGCCCATGTGTCTGGGCTCCCCACCCCATGTCAAAGTCAAAGAGGAGGTGCTGGAGTCACCTGTAGCCTCAGCCATCACCCATCAGGTGCTCGGGCCTAACTATCGACAGACATTTCCTGGGTGACATCAGCCAAGCACCCCCACTGCAGCCACTGCCCATGGCCTGCATTTCCTCCCCATGTGGCAGCTGAGGAAGTCCCCACCCCTGCCCCATGCTGTTACCTTAGAAGCCTTGCTGCCTTGCTTCCGCTACCCATCAGAAACAAAGGCATAAGTGCAGCCCATATTCATGGGAAGGGAATAACTCCTTCCTCTGGGAGAATGTGCAAGTGTGCTTTCAATCCATCACCACCACCTGGCTAACGCCAGAGATGAAATGCAAGGTGAAAACCAAGGGTGGGCCTGGCTGCTCGCCACACCAGCTGTGGGAGCCTGGGGCCTTGCAGAGACTCCCCTTCCCTGTGTGTATGCTAGGAAGGTTGCAATCGCTGAGACCTAGCAGTTTTTGTCTTTTAAAGACTTATTATTTGAAAGACAGGGTTACAGAGAGAGACAGATAAAAGAGATCTTCCACCTGTTGGTTCACTCCTCAAGTGGCTCCAACAGCGGGGTACATACAGACCAGGTTGAAACCAAAGGCCTCAAACTCCACCCAGGTTTCCCACGCGGCCCGAGGGCTCCAGTAACCTGCTGCTGTCCCAGCTGCATTAGCAGGGAGCTGGATTGGAAATGGAGGAGCCAGGACTTGAACTGGCGTTCATGTGGCCTGTGACATCCCAGGCAGCAACAATGCTGGCCCCTAGACCTGATGGCTTTCTCTGGTCTGTTTCTCTTCACCTTGGTGAGCTTCAGAATTGAAGCTTGCATCACTTTCTTGACTCCTAGAACCTCCCCATCCCTGAGCTCCCTTGGTTTCTCACCCTGGCGGCTAGTGTACTTTGGGTCCAGAAAGTCCAGAGGTCAGAAACAACTTTACATACAGGGAGGCCCTGAGGACCTCAGGAGATGCCTCCAGGCCCAGCCCGGAAACCTCTGCTGGCCAAGAAACACAGGGCGCTGGCATTACACCATATCAGATAAAACTGCCACCTGTGATGCCATCATCCCGAATGGGCGCTGGTCCTGGCTGCTCTGCTTCCCCTCTGGTTCCCTGCTAATGTACCCGGGAAAGCAGCCAAGCTCAGCCCAAGTGCTTGCGCCCCTGCACCCACATGAGAGTCCATCTGGCTCCAAGCTTCCACCTGGCCTAGGAACAGTCCCAGTTTTGTAGCCATTTGGGAAGGAAAATAATGGATGGAAGATGTTTCCTTTTTTTTTTGAAGATTTATTTATTTATTTATTTGCAAAGTCAGATAGACAGAGAGGAAGATGTTCTGTCCAATGATTTACTCCCCAAGTGACCGTGATGGCTGCAACTGAGCCAATCTGAAGCCAGAATCCAGAAACTTCTTCCAGGTCTCCCATGCAGGTGCAGCGTTCCTAGGCTTTTGGGCCATCCTCGACTGCTTTCCCAGGCCACAAGCAGGGAGCTGGATGGGAAGTGGGATGCCAGGATTAGAAGTGGCGCCCCATGGGATCCTGGCGCATTCAAGGCAAGGACTTTAGGCACTAGGCCACTATGCTGGGCCTTGATGGAAGATGTTTCTGTGTTTCTCCATCTGTTTCTCTGTATGTGTGCCTTTCAAAAAATGTTTAAAAATAAATCTTGAAAGAAAGGAAGAAAGAGAGAGGGGAAGGAAGGAAGGAAGGAAGGAAGGAAGGAAGGAAGGAAAGAAAGAAAGAAAGAAAGAAAGAAAGAAAGAAAGAAAGAAAGAAAGAAAGAAAGAAAGAAAGAAAGAAAGAAAGAAAGAAAGAAAGAAAGAAAGAAAGAAAGAAAGAAAGAAAGAAAGAAAGAAAGAAAGAAAGAAAGAAAGAAAGAAAGAAAGAAAGAAAGAAAGAAAGAAAGAAAGAAAGAAAGGTTTTGCTGATTTCGGAAGCAGCATCCCATACCAGAGCCCATTCCACTTCCAGCTCCTGCACTTCCGGTCCTGCTAAGGCACCTGCGCCTGGGAGCCAGCAGGTAATGCACCAGGTACTACAGTTCCTGCTGTCCACGGGAGAGACTTGGATGAATTTCCAGGCTCCCAACTCGGCCCAGGTTCAGCTGTTGGGGCCATTTGGGGAGCGAACCAGTAGATGGAAGATAAATCTCACCTACCCTCAATTCCCACCTCCCATTCCCATGTGTGTATGAAAGCCTGAATCTTCAAAATTTTTCCAAGCAACAGAAAACAGAACCGTGTAGGCAAATCTAAGGAACGGGAATGTGCCCGCTGGGACCCGAGGAGTCTGCGTTCCCCTGGAGGCTGTTCTTCACACTAACTCCTGGCAGGGCCGAGGGGAGGAATCTTCAAGCACACAGCTAACTCCCATTTCTAATTAAGTTCTTCGCTTCTGCTACACGCTTTTCCCATAACTGAATAAGGGAGGGAGGGAGGCAGAAGAGTTGAGTCTACAAAGCCCAAGGTCCGCAACAGTTTCTTTCCCTTCCCCCAAGTCCTCCGGGCTCCCCTCCGTCGCCTCCCACTCCCTTGGCGAAGGCCGCCTACGACCCCGCAGAGCCCCCCCTCCCGGTCAAGGCAGACTAGGAACCGGAGCCTCACACCCAACTTCCACCAAAACAGCCACACGGAGCCACGGGGTGCTGTCAACCCTTTGGGCCCCAGAGTAGTGACCCTCCTCCCGCCCCCTTCCCTCCTCCTCCCCACCCCGGACCGCCTCCCCTAACAGTGAGCTCCTGGGGGTGCTCCGCGGCCACCCAGCGGGACCCCTCTACGGCCGAGAGGGGACACCGCTGCCTTCGGGAGGGAAGTGATAGGTTGACCCTCCCACAACGAAACCCGGGTCTTCCGGGCCACAGTGCTCGCTTCCACCCAAGCCCTGGACCCCTGCGAGGGACTCCACCTCCTGCACGGAAAGTCCCGACCACAGGCATTCCCTTCCAGCCAGGAAGCTCCCTGGAGTTTACTCTTTGTCCGATCCCACACGATTCCTTCTGCCCCGCCGCGCCCCCAAACGGAGGTAAGCAAGGACCCAATGCCTCCCACTCCCTGTTGATCCCTTGGGGCGGCGGGAGGGCTGCGGGAGCACCGGGACCTGGTGGGAAGGCGCTGGCCCTTTAAGGGGGGGACCGGGCGCATGCGCGGCGGCGCGGGCCGGAGTGGAGCCCGGTGGGCTACAGGCGGCCAGGGGACTCGGCTGGCAGCGGCCGGGCCCTGGGGTGGCGACGGGAAGGCCGCAGCGTCTCCGAGCGGCGATCGGCCGGTGCGCGCGGCGATCGGCCGGTGCGCGCCACGATCTACCCGTGCGCGCCTCCATCGCGGGCTGCTCCCCCGGGGCCCGCGCCGCGGGGTTCGCCCGGGCGTTGTCGCTCGCTGCCAGCTGCATCCATCTGCCGTGACCGCGCAAAGCCTGCGGGCTGGCCCCGCACGCCCGGTCATTCTTCCTCCAGCCCTTCACCGGGCCGCGGGAGCCCGCGCGCACAGCCACGGAGCATCCTTCGCCCGCGCCACCGCCCATGCTGCAGCCGGTCGGGAACAGCGACCCCGCGGCCGGAGTCCACCGTTCGGTGACCTCAGCTCGGCCCCTGCGCACCGCCCCGGCGGTTCCTGCCAAACCCCGGGCCCCGGTGTGGGACCCGCGCATGGCTATGGCTCAGCCGGTGCAGCGTGACACCCGGTGCCTGCCGTCCGCCCGCTGAGACGCGCTTGACTCGGGACCGCAAGGCCTTGGAATTCCCTGCCTCCGCCTCCCCACCGCGCCCTTCTCTCTGCCGAGGGGCTCCAGCTGCTGCTTCCCCAGGAGCGAGGGGTGACAGGGCCGAGACAAAGCCCACTTTGTGCCGGGAGTTGCCGTGGGGCGTGGAATGCGCGCCACGGAGCGCGCCTCCTCCCCGCTGCCCCCAGGTCTGGCTCCAGGTCTGGTCTCGGGTCCCCGCGCCATCGGGGCGCCTGGAGCGCTCGGAGCCTCCCCGTGCAGTCTAGAGTCGTCTGAGCTTTGTGGCCGCAGCTTCCCTCTGAGCGCTGGCCGGCATTGTTATCCCTGCCAAATGGGGGTGCTTTGTGAAGACCGCCAAGTCGGGAGCTGTTCACATTATCCCTCCCTTCAAACAAGACAAAGCGTCTTGGGCTGATCCCCACAACCCACCCTCGACGCCCCACTTCACGCTGTGGCACTGATTTTTTTTTTTTTCTTTTTCTTCTCCAGTAGTATTTCATTGTACAGGAGCCACGCCCTGCCTTCTTAAAGGCGCCCTGCACTCTGGCCATGTGGTGTCCTCGCAGCCGGTGTGTGGGAGGTCTCCTGTGAGCCACCCGATTTTCCCGCCTCCTCCCCATGTCTCCTCCCACCCCTGTCAAGGATTCAGGGATGCCCGGGGGGAAGAAAGCAGCCGGGGGTGGCAGCAGCAGTAGTGGGGGCGCGGCCCCACCTGCAGCCGCTGCTGCAGCCTCTGCGGCCTCTTCCGTGGGAGCCCTAAGCTTGGAGACCAGCGAAGGGGCCTCTGCCCAGAGAGATGAGGACCTGGAGGAGGAGGGGGAAGAGGACCTGCGAGATGGAGGCGTCCTTTTCTTCGTCAACCGGGGTGGGCTGCCCTTGGACGAGGCCACTTGGGAGAGGATGTGGAAGCACGTGGCCAAGATCCACCCCGATGGAGAGAAGGTGGCGCAGCGCATCCGTGGCGCCACGGACCTGCCCAAGGTGAGGCTTGTTGCCTGGGGGTGAGGGATAGAAGGGGTGTCAGGACGGGGGGGGGGGGGGCTGAGATCACAGAACCACGCTGTCCTCTGGGGTGCTGGAGGAAGGTGTTAAAGACACCTGTGGAGAGGGACTCCTGACCCTTGCTGGTTTCGAGTGTCTGGCAGCAGAGGCATGAACAAGCACGGTGCCTTCACTTCTGGGCCTGATAACGCTGGGCAGGAGAACTGCGAACCAATGACTCGGGAGGGAATACAGGGCTTCCAAGTTGGAAAAAATATATATTTTTTTCCCATGCCTTTTCTCTGCCAGCTCTCCTAACAGCCTTGGTAAGTCAGTGCAAATGGAGTGTCCATTTTACAGATGGGAAAGCTGATAACTCAAATAGGAGTTCTAGGAAGTAGAAGAGCCAGGTCCTCGGACCAGGGGGTTGAACTATATCTTCTCTGCCCTGCCGGACACTAGATTTGGGGTCAGGGATGGGGAATGAAGTCAAATTATTTTTCTGTGTTGGCCTGGGGCTCTTCCACAGTCACTGCCCTTCAGTTGTGTCACCCACGAGGGCAGAGGCTGCGTCTCATTCATCTTTGTCTTCTCCAGGTCTCCTGGGTGCCTGGCACTGAACAGGCACTTATGTGTGTTTGCCCAGTGAAAGGATGTTGGAGACTTCTGTGCTTTGTGGAAATAAATGCCCAGGATTTTTTTTTTTTTTTAAGAAACATTAAGACTAATGAAATGTTCTCCCGAGTGCAGAGTCCTGAAATCCCATCCCCTCAAAGCACAGCCCAGTGCTGAGTCTTGCCTGCCCAACCCAGGGAGGATGGGGATGAGGGAGAGTGGCAGTGAGTGGGTGAGGCAGGGGACGGATGGCCTGCTGTGTTTTGCTTTTGCTGGATTTTTAATAGAGCTATAAATCAGATATCTCCAGTGAGTGTCAGAGTTTGGAATTTGAGCTACTATTGCTCAAAGATGTAGCTCAAATTATAAGCACTGCTCAAAAAAATAGATTGATTTTGAATGGTTGGCTGACTGTCCTGAGGACAGACTTGCTGTGTATTCAGCTATTTCCCTCTGGTTGGACATTATTTCCAGTATCTTATCTTTCACCCTGTGGTGGATATTCTGAAACTTGAACTTTGGAGTCCATCTCTATTTCCTCTGGGTGAGTTCCTGAAAGAGAAACTGTTGCAGTAACTGTGATGTTGCTTTTGGGGTGGTTTGCCAGTCTACCCAGCCTGAGGCAAACGTCTTGGACCTACATGAACCACAGCTTTGTCATCTGCTTAATGGGTTGATTGTGGGGGAAGAGTACAGCACCCCAAACCAGCCCTGGGGACTGGCTGTCCGTTACCATCTTCCATGTCCTTCAACACGAGGGGATGTCAAGTCTCACTGACAGCCTTTGTGCCTGCTGGGCCTGAGAGCCATGCTTCTGCCACTGAACCAGCCAGGGTGAAGCTGCTGGAACTTCAGCCCTCTTACTTCTGCCCAAAACAGGCCATGGGAGTGAGGGCATGGTTTCGTAGGCAGCAGTCACCACTCCTGGGGACTAATTAGTCACCTTGGCCCCTGTCAGTGTGGAAGGGAAGGGGATTTTTGTGAGAGGTATAGGAAAATTTGAAACTTCCCAATCATCTCAGAAACATAGTCTGTGGGAGGGTTTTCCTGTACTTCGCTCAAAGCAGAGTTAGAACTGGGAGGCCCCGGAGACCTTGCAGGAGGGCCGCTCTGTTAGGATGTTGGCCTGGTGGCTGCAGAGTGGGCGACCCCGGGCTCCAGAGTGGCCCTGCCATTGCAGCTGGGACCAAGACAGACTCCGTGGACGTCACCATGGTGTGCTCAGAAAGTGTTCTGTTGGCACTGCGCACTGCTTCTAAAGGCCACATGAGCTAACATGTAAAATTGGAAGATTTCTCCCATGAAGCTTCCAGACTTCTGGCATGAGTGTGAAAAGACCTGGGAACACAGACATGGCAGTCCCGCGTGGCAGCTGGTGGCCAGGACTGGGGAGTGCTTCCCCTCCCACAGTCTAGCACAACTCCTGCCATTTACCTGCCCAGCATGCATTTTCTGACCACTGGCCTGGCCCCTGCAGATAGGGTGAGCTCGGGACCTGAAGGATGGCATTACAAAAGGAAAGTAGTCTTGGGTCAGATGCACCTTCCTCCATACCTACCACTGTGAGCAAGGTGTGCAACTTCTGTGCCTCTGTTGACTCTGCTGTAAAATGGGGGTAACAGCAATGCCCACTGCAGAGGGATACTGAGAGGCATCGGCAGGAATGTCCAAGGCTGTGACTAGCATGTTAAAGGACAACTGTCTGTAAAGGAATCTTCAATCCATCACAGCTTCCCTTTCCCAGCAAACATCTCTTCTTGATGTTTCAAGCTGTCAGCGCCATTGAAAGCGTAACAATCCCTTACCACTGGGGCCAGCTGGCTTTTGGCCAGGGGGCACCTGCAGGATAGATGTCTGCACAGGACAAGCAGCTGTCCCAAGGAGATCTGAGTAGCTGATGTCACTTGACCCCATTGGATTCCTGTCTAAACCCACACCTCAACAGTGAGGAAGTTTTTCTGGCTTCTGTTTTAGAGGTGATAACTGGAGGGCAAATGCCTGAAATAGACCTGATCATTTGTTTTTATGGATTTACTTATTTGAAAAGCAGTGTGATAGATTTTCCATTTGCTAGTTGACTCCCAAATGGCAGCAATGGACTGGGCTGGGCAAGGCTGAAGGCAGGAGCCAGGAACTCTGGGTCTCCTGTATGGTGGGCAGGAGTCCAAGCAATTAGGCCATCTTCTGCTGCTTTCCCAGGTGCATTAGCTGAGAGCTGGATCAGAAATGGAGCAGCCAGGACTAGAATTGGGGTTCATATGTGATGCTGCCAGCATGGCAGGCTGTAGCTTCAATAACTACGCCACAACACAGCCCTTAGAATCTCTTCTGTTCATTGTGCTTGTGTGAATGAGTCTAGGCTGACAATGAGTTTTCATAAAGAAGGTAGCAGTGGGGCCCGGCGCGGTGGCGCAAGTGGTTAAGTCCTCGCTTTGCACGCCCGGGATCCCATATGGGCGCCGGTTCTAATCCCGGCAGCCCCGCTTCCCTTCCAGCTCCCTGCCTGTGGCCTGGGAAGGCAGTCGAGGACGGCCCAGGGCTTTGGGAACCTGCACCCGCGTGGGAGACCCGGAAGAGGCTCCTGGCTTCGGATCGGCATAGTATCGGCCCGTTGCGCTCACTTGGGGAGTGAATCATCGGATGGAAGATCTTCCTCTCTGTCTCTCCTCTCTGTATATCCGCCTTTCCAATGAAAAAAAATAATAAAAATAAATCTTTAAAAAAAAAAAAAAAAAAGAAGGTAGCAGTGCCTACAGTGGAGTCCCGCAACGCCAGGCACTGGGTGATCAGCCACTTCTGGCTTAACTGCGGTGAGGGGGACTTGCAAGGGCTTGCTATGGTGAGCCAAGGGTTTTTCTGGCTCCTCCGGCTCTGGAGACAGCCAATTCCTGGGTCCCTTGTCAGATGGCAGATGCTGCTGCTGCTGTGTGGGTCCTACCTGGACCAAACCTAGCTTATGAGGAGTTTCTCACCAGAGGGTACCCTTGCAACCTTTAATCTGGAGTTCTGCTTTGAAGCCACTGGATCTCCAGCTAATAAGTAGGGACAATCCTGCCTTGCAGGGACAGCCACCTGAGTGGATCAGGTGCCACATGGGTATGCGGTGGTGCTGAATATAGTAAAGTACTAAGTAATCTCACTCTAATTCCTCCCTAAAACCCCATCTCCCAACTCCCCAACCTAGAGGAAGCCAGGACTGGCCGGTGAGAGACGCAAAGCCTCCTGTATGCAAGGTGGTTGGCTAGGAAGTGGAGGGCTCCCACCCCAGACTTTTATCCTGCTGGGGGCCCTAAGTGGCAGCACCCTTTCAGGGAGGCGGGGAGGAACATGTGAAGGGGAAATGGCTTCCTCCAGACTGAGGTCAGCTGCTGGCTGTCCAGGAAGGAGGGAGGGCAGCCAGGAGGGGAAGTTCATGCAGCTGTCAGCAGGAGGCCAGGGGCTCCTGCCTCTGGCCTCTCAGCCCTTTAGAGTGAGGAAGCATCTGTGGATACTGTCCATGTCCCCTGCTGTCAGCAACAACCCAGGCGCTAGTGTGCCACGATAAACTGAGTATCACTTCCTGCCTGCCGCTGTGGCCACATGACCTAAGCGGCGCATCCCATTGCCCCACTATGGCCAAGTGACCCACAAGGACTGGAGGAGAAGACTCAGTTCTCTCACTCAGCTCCTCCCTGCCCCGGCCTACCCCCTCAGCTCACACCCCTATCTGCTCAGACTCTGTTGCCAGGTGAGCAGCCTCCCTGTAGCCTTGGCCCATCAGGTGGAGGCCTTGGGGTGAAGATGGGGCAGGACTTCTCAGGTGGGAGTCTGAGACTGCCTGGGACCAGCTGTGCTTGGGGCAGCAGAGCAAGAAGCCCACAGGAGTGGGCCTTGTCCTTGGAAGTCTGGTTCTTCCACTCAAGGAATTCTGTTCTGAACTGGGGTCCCCAGAAGACTCCCTAGTCAGTACATCTCCTGCACCCTTCAGCCTCAAGCAAAGCTGCCAGGGTATGGGGCTTTCCCTGCCGGAGAAGGGGCCCACCTTAGAGGTGGCCTGGAAGTGATGGACAGCCATGGCACCTGCTGATCCTGACCTGGCTTACAGCAGCCTGGCAGCCACACCTGGAACTCCCAGGTACCTGGGGAGGTGAGGAGACCTGCTTGACACACCCACCTGCTCCTTCCCTTGGCTCAGTGCTAGAGACTGTGCTGATCAGAAGGGCTGGTTGCCCTTCTGTCTGGTTGCCCAGGTACCTTGTACTGCTCAGATGTGAAGCTGGTGGCAGAGGGAGAAATTGAAGAAGCCCCCCACCTCCGAGGCCCCCGTGCTTTCTGTGGGACCCCAGAAAAACAGTAAGGACCCAGAAATACAGCACAGTAAGGCCTGTCTCCCATTGCATCCCCCCACAACCTGCTGCCACTGACCAATCCCTTAACCCGAGATGCCACTCTGAGAGGGTGGGACACCCTGTTGAAGAAGTTTCTATTTAGCACCTAAACCTCAGCAGAACCTAAACCCAAATGATCTTAGCCCAAAACAGACGTTTTTGCTAGGTCTTGAAGCTAACGAATACTTAACAATTCAAAACAGTCTATGAATCAGCCTATGTTTTTCTAAAATTATTGAAGAAACATAAAATTGGAATGTCAACATGAGTTCCAAATTAGACATGCTGCCTTGTGCTGGAAGGGAAGAGTTGGGAGGGGGCGCTGCCAGGAGTCTCCAGAAGGTGGGGCTGCCAGAGAAAGAGGTTCCCAGCAGCTGCCCCTTCCCCAAGATGCGGCTTCCCTGGAGGCTGACGGGCAGGTGGGCTGGAAACTGGGCTGCCTCTAGTGACCCAAGTCTTTTCTCTGTTCCCAGATTCCTGTACCAAGTGTGCCTACCTTCCAGCCGTCTACGCCTGTCCCTGAACGCCTGGAAGCCGTGCAGCGCTACATCAGGGAGCTGCAGTATCCATTCTGGTCTAGGGCCATGGTCACCGTCTGGCCGGTGCGGTGCGTCTAAAGCCAGGTGGAGCTGGGGAGGGATCAACAGGGCTCCAGAGGTACCATCCGTGTAACATCATTCTGTCCCCTGGTACTGTGGGGGACATAGCCCATGCCGTCTGCTTGCCCCGCCCCCGCCCTCCCAGGTGTCAGAGGAGTTTGGTGTGGTGAGAGCCGGCCCCATTCCAGCCTCTCCATCCTCTGCTTCCTCCTCCTGCCATGTGATGGGATAAAGAGCCAGAAATGTCTCCAGAGCCTCCTGCTGGGAGGAAGTGTGAGCCTAGATCTTCTGCAGCATCCACATAGCCCAGCAGAGGGCTGAACTCCCTTGGGGCTATTAAAATCCTGGTTTTAAGGAGGGGAAGAGGCATAAAGGAGAAAAAGGATGCTGACGGCCCAGGAGGTCACCTTAACATTCTGGAATCTTCTCCTGGTTTTTGCCTATCAGGAGCTAGTGTGCCCAGCCTTTTCAGATTCTGCCCTGAGTCCAGACTAGCTGATGTCCCTGCCATCAGCCCCTCCAACCCACAGGGCTATGCCTCAGAGCCAAGTCTCAGCCCCAGCTGTCTCCCCTGGGTTCCTGTTGCCTCGCAGCTGGATGAGAAATGAAGTGTTGCAGAGAGGCATAGCTCTTCACCAGCTGAGGCCTCTCTCCCAACCCTAGCTCCCAATCCTGTTCTTCCCTGCCCTTCAGCACCCAGAAAGGGAGTTTGGGGAGAGCAGGGGTGAACTCAAGCAGGGAGTGCCCTTGCCAAGCCCCCCTCTCCCTCCAGGAGAACCAGGCCTTGAGTGGGCCTACAACTTAAGGCACTTGGGGGGGAGTCCTTGCCCAGCCTGCAGTCCTGGAAGTGCTGGACCCCACACCTTTTCCAGACCAAACCAGAAAGCCCTTAACCAGCAACCACAGGTACAATCACACAGGGACACAGTTCTTTGAAATTAAGAAGAGCAGGCCTCTGACAGGGTAAGTATGGCAGAGGCCAGGCCAGGGTGGGCCTTTGAGTGGAAGCCCACAGGGCAGGCTGACAAGCACACTCCCAGAACCATCAGGCTCCAGAGGCAGCTACCACTCTGGGACTCAGACATACCAGCAGCAGGTGCACAGACAGGGCTTCCTTACTGAGTAGAGGCCTGATACCCCCTCTGAGCCAGGAGAGTGGGGGCAGTCAACCTTGCCCAGCTTGCTCTGCCGGTGTCAGAGAATCATCCCAAACGGATTAAAGATGCAGGTAGACCCTTGGCCAGACGCACTGACCAGAGGACAGTGAGAAGTGGAAGCCATAGCCAGGACTGGGGGCCCAGGCCGCAGGCTTGAGAGTCCCAGAGTTCGAAAGTTAACAGGAATTTTGCAATGCCATGTTTGCTTTCTTATTTTGTTTTGTTCTGTTTGTTTTAATGCTTTAAATGATTCATTAGCAAAATGCCTGCATTATCTCTGCTCTAAGCCAAGGGGTAGAATTCGGTGTCCCTAACCCTATAGCTTGGCTCTCATTCTCCCTGCAGTGCTGTGTGTGCTGGGAGCTGCTCCTGACCAAGGCAGGGGCCAGGCTAATTCTTAACCCCGGGCCTGGGATAGCATTCAGTGAAAAGCCTTGGGCACAGGCTCTTAAAATGGCTTGAATTCCAAGTTCAAGTGCTTCCAGGGGAGCTGCCAGACCACTCTGCCACACCTGGGCCCCTGAAGGGAACCATCACAGCCAATTACTAAGATCTTGGGAGGGGCCACGCCATCAGAGCACTGTGCTCTGATGGGGAAAAATCTATTCCCTCGTCTGGGCATCTCTCCTCAGCTGTAGCAGAAAGCCCCAGCCCAGGGCTGACCAGGTTCTGCCCCCAAACTGTGTTCTCCTTTGACAAGTCCTGGAGTTGCAGCCAAGAATGGAAAGTGAGAGGGAAGGGGCAGGAGTGGGCCTCCATCGGTTAGCCAGTAACTGCCTCTCCCCATCCCCCTCATGCCCCAGAGGAAGGCAGCTTGGGAGATGGAAAGGCACTGGCCTTCCAGCATTTCTTGCTCTCTCCTGCTGATCCTCCCCGACCGGAACAGACTGCAGGCTGGTGCTGTCCTCACAGCTCTCTGGGTCCTTTTCCTACAGGCTGATGGACCTGGCCAAGGAAATGACCAAAGAGGCTCTGCCAATCAAATGCCTGGAAGCTGTGATCCTGGGAATGTATCCTTCCTGCAGCCTGGGCCCTCCCTGGGGCTGGGCTTCCTGCCCTGTATAGGGAGGGCTGAAGGATGGCCAGGGCTCTCCCAGCTCTCACCTGCACAGGGTCATCCTCTCGGCCCTCCCCAAAGTGGAGGAGCCTGGGGTGGGGGGGCAGAACCCCCCCTACCTTCCCCAGACTTGCTGGGCAGGTATTTTAAACTTGACCTTAGCCAAAAATCCAAGAAGCAATGGGCGGGCAGCTGTTTTGAGCCACATGGACACAGTGGCCCTGGTCTCCAAGCCCCAGATCTGGGCATATATCTCACAAAGGCTGGTGTCCAAGAGCCAATCTGGGAGAAGCAGTGGCTTCCAATAAATGCGTAGAAAAGCATCCTATGGAAAACCATGGCTGGAAAGCCAAAATCTTTTGCAACAAAACAAACTTACCTTTTAATTCCATTTCCCCATGAAACTTTTGAGTTCCTATTATTATCATTATTATTTCGGGAGCCCTGATTGGCACAGCAGCTAGGAACTCCAGGCAGTCCTGTTCCTATGGAGCTTCTGGATATTAAATACCTACTGTATGCTGGCCAGAAAGGGCGCTACAGGTCTGCACTAGGAACTGGGCTATGCAGGGGACGCCCCCTCCCTAACTGGGGCCAGCCTTCTACCTGCCACACCTAGTTCTTTCCTTAGCTGGGGTGCCTGGCAGTTACCTCACCAACAGCATGCCCACCCTGGAACGCTTCCCCATCAGCTTCAAGACCTACTTCTCAGGGAATTACTTCCGCCACATTGTGCTGGGAGTGAACTTTGGGGGCCGCTACGGCGCGCTGGGCATGAGTCGGCGCGAGGACTTGATGTATAAACCGCCGGCCTTCCGCACTCTCAGCGAGCTAGTATTGGACTACGAGGCTGCTTACAGCCGCTGCTGGCACGTGCTACGCAAGGTCAAGCTCGGCCAATGTGTGTCCCACGACCCGCACAGCGTGGAGCGCATCGACTGGAAGCACTCGGTCCTGGACGTGGAGAAGCTGGGCCGAGATGACTTCCGCAAGGAGCTAGAGCGTCATGCCCGTGACATGCGCCTCAAGGTCAGGCGCAAGGAGGGGATGTGGGGCCTGGGGATGGGTGAGCTTGCTTTGCCTGGGGGTTGTGGAGTTGTTGAACGATCATGATGCCAGGAGCCGGAGTCCTGGAGGAACTTAGAAGGAGCCTATTTGGACCTAGAACAGGTGGGCAGAGCTGTGGAAGAGATGGCCCCCAGAGCCTGCCAGCATCTGGACTGTGCCTTCTCCCTGGTATGGCAGTGACCTCCTTGGAGCCCCCACTCTCCCTCCCCTGCCAGATGTTGAGCTACTGAGTCAGGTCTTGTTGCACTGTGCCTGGGGTATAGGCTGGGGCCTCTGCCTCTGCCACCAGCTGGGCATTGTCATGCCATGACTCTTACCCACAATCCCAGGAGCCACCTTCACAGCACAGGAAGTCCTGATGCTGGCTCACTAGCTAGGAATCCAAGCTTCTGAAAGGTTTTAGCAAGGATCCGCAGGACTACCCTTGTCCTGCCTCCCTCCTGCCCCTAATCCCACCCACCCAGGGCAGGCTGTTTTCTTCTGAGCTGATGGTCCCTCCACTTGCCTGCAAGCAGCCCAGCCCCAGCTGTGGCTAGGCAGGCTATGGTTGTGCTCGGGATCCTATTTTGAAAGCTCCAGCTGACTATACTGCATAAAGGATGATTCATCTGTTTCTGTCATTTTTCTAAAGTGTATTTATTTGCAAGGCAGAGGAGCAGAGCAAAAGGGAAGGTCTAGGGGAGCTCTTCTGTCTGCTGGTTCATGTCTTCAAAATGGCCACAAGGGCCAGGGTCAGACCGGGCTAAAGCCGGCAGCCTGGAACTCTATCCAGGTCTCCCATGGACCCGGGTCTTCTGCTTCATGCCACCTGTTTCCCCAGGCCCTATGCATGGGTGGCTGGGCTGAAGGTCGGGCAGCCTGGGGTAATGTGTTTTTTTTGTTGTTTTTCTGCCCCACCTAGATTGGCAAAGGGACAGGCCCTCCCTCTCCCACCAAGGACCGGAAGAAGGACGTTTCCTCCCCACAGCGGAGCCAGTCCAGCCCCCACCGCAGGAACAGCCGCAGTGAAAGACGGTGAGCGATGGGCTTCCACCTGCGCGGGGGCCCAGAAATCCTCCTTTCCTCTCCTCTTCTCCCTGTTTTCCTCACCCCTCCCTCATCCTCTCTTTTCTGCTCTAAAAGAGATTTGGGGTTGTGGAGGGTGGGTGTTTATGTGCTAAAGTCTCCCGATTCTCCCCAAACACTCCATCTGCACAAAAGGTCTTGAAGGAAGGAAGGGTTTGACTTCAGATACTAGCTGAGTGCAGCTTTGGTAGATAGCTTTGAACATGACCTTGGCCCTAAGCATCTGTAGTTGATTTTATTGTTCTTATGGGTGTTTTGGTTTGTTTTTAAGATCCATTTAATTTTATATGAAAATCAGATTTATAGAAAGAAGGAGAGAAAGATCTTTTATCCACTGGCTCACTTGCCCAAACAGCCGCTGAGCTGATCCAAAGCCAGAAGCCAGGAGCTTCTTCTGGGTCTCCAAGGCTTTCCCAGACCATTAGCAAGGAGCTAGATGTTAAGTAGAACAACCAGGATACAAACCAGTGCCCATATGGGATTTGGCACTTGGAAGTGGAGGATTAGCAGATTGGGCTATTGTGCTGGCTCCAAATCTATAGTTTTTGTCTTAATCTAGATAGCAGAAAAATGATGATAAAAAAAAAATCGTATTCCTCTCTGACCTTTCTCCTATCTTGTGAGTCCGGCTCTTGCTTTAAATGCAATCACCTCCCAGGTGCCACCTCTTTCCAGTGAGGCTTGCAGTAGCACTAAAATATCCATCTTGACTTTGATCTAGGAGGTTTTTGCAATGAACAGGGTCCCCTAGGGAGACTTCTTTATTCTGTTTCCCACCATCTGCCACTAGAAGAGCTAATCCCCAGAACGTAAGAGCAGAGACCCCTGCCTGCAGGAGGTCACAGGCTAGCCAGGACTGTAGGGCCATTCTCCCCAGCCCCACCCCCGCGATTGGCGCCTTGGGGAATGGAGCAGGGATGTCAGCAGCAGCTTCCACTTCCGTTTCCTCCTCCATCTGCCTAGGAGACCACTTACTTACCACCCGTACCCTGGCTCTGTTCCCCTTCCCTGCAGACCCTCCGGTGAGAAGAAGCCTTCGGAGCCCAAAGCCATGCCAGACCTCAACGGGTACCAGATCCGGGTGTGAGGCAGGTGCCAGAAGCCCAGGCCTCCCCTGCTACTGCAGACCAGCGTCTCCCTGCTGGAACCAGCATCGCTCATGGGGAAGGAGGGGCTCACAATGGGGCAGGGTCAGGGGCTGCGGGAAGAGTGGGCTCCAGCTCAGCCCCACCCTACTACTCCAAGTTGCTCCCCTCCTAATAAGCCCAGCCCCCTAACTTCTGGCCAAGAGGCAGTTAGTATTTTATTTGGAATCTTGAACTCTATAATGAAGCTTCAAGTATTAGGGAAAAATGAATCAAATGGATCTGCTGATGGCTGCTAGGCTGGCAGGCAGGAGCTGGCTGAGGCTGGGTTGCCAATGCTGCTGGTGGCCCTGCCCCTGGCATCTGATCCTAACTATGGGATGTGGGGGGGTGTGTGAGTGGGGAAGTGTTGCTTTGATTCTGCCTACACTGGCAGAATCTTGACCCAGGGTTCGGGAAGCAGGGTAGGAACCATCTGAGAAAAGTCCATTTGGCCCTAAAGCAGGAGCTCAGCACCGGCTACTTCTGTGCTGACAGTGGAATCCTGTGGTCTGGTGACCCCCAGGCCCTGGTGCAGTGTGGCCAGCACTGCCCCATGCTGGGGCTGGATTAATGGGGAACAGGAAAGAAGCATGGGCCCAGCATTCCCAGGTCCCCACACTGGGTCTGTTTGCTCAGGCGCAGCTCTGCCTGTTGCTGAAGGCCAGAGGGCTTTGTATCAAGGTCTGCAAGACTTGAGGAGGATGAAGCAGACCTTGGCTTCAATCCAGGAGCAATGGCTGGCCATGGGGTGACTGCCAGGGACCCTTCAAGCATGAGTCCTTCCCTTGGCCATGCTAGGAGTAGGCTGTGCTGCTCCTGTCTGGCACAGCTCAGCCCTTGTTGGGGTGAACAGGCCAACTCAGAGATGCCTGTGCCCTAGGCCCTGGCACCTAGAGCTGTCTACAACCTCCTGCCAGACATGAGAAAGCTAGGGGTGAGAGCACGTGTGAAGGGGTTGGCAGATTTGGGGGGCACCTCTGCAGGCTCAAGCATCTATCTGTAGGGCAAGGGTGTTCTGTGTTTCTGGAAGAGGGGCGGAGTGCAAGGACTGGGGAGTGTAAGTGACAAAGGGATTGGGTGGGAGAGTTTGGGGTGGGGCTGCCTTGTCGAGTTGTGGGTTCCCTACAGCAAAGAGTCCGTGACTGCTGGTCAGGATGCTGAAGGGAGTTCAGGTTACCAAAGGGCGGCCAGGTGAGAGTAGCATTATGGTTTCTTTGGACTGTGAGGTTGGATTTGCCAACAGGGGCAGTTGTAGGAGGTGAGGTTATGGAGTAGCTGGGGCCTGAGTAAAGGAGGCTCAGAGGTGTGAACTCAGGTGTGCTCAAAGGGAGGGCTGCAGGGCTGGGTGGGGACTGAAGCAAGTTAAAGGGCATATCCCCCGCCACCCTGCCTGCCCAAAGGGGCAGCCATCCCCATGTGGAAAGGTGGCTTTTCCAGAGGCTATGAAATCTGCTTTGTAAAGATTGTCATTCCATTCAAAACGTGGACAAACCTAGCCTGGGCAAGAGATCAGTTTGTAAACTCTGGAGAAAGCTGGGAGAGGGAGAGGTCCACTGAGGGCTTTGTGGAGGGAAGCAGGAAGGGGCAGGGAGAAGTGGGCCTGAGGCTCCCCTACCAGGAGGCAGCCACCAGAGGTGTTAACCTGCTGCTTCCCAACAGACCAGAGGCAGATAGATCCCCTTCCACAGCTGGATCAGTCCCTTGCCTGCCTGGCCAGGTTCCACATAGGGTGGAGGAGCGGGACCTAACATCCCCTCTGCAGGCTCCACCATGGCCAGACCAATCAGAGGGGCAGGATCCAGGAGCCCCAGGCCAGCTTTCTGCCAGTGGGGAGGGCAGGCCTGTGTTGCCATGTGCTCTCTTGGCAGGCCTGAGGCCACACTGGGTTCCCACTGGGTTGGAGGTCACATTGACACAAGGCAACAATGACATGTGGGGAGGACTGTCAGGGAGCTGGGAGGACGTTGCTCCTCCCTGGCTCCAAGACCCTAGGTAGCTGCTCTGACCCACAGGGTCCCAGTGAAGGAAGCAGATCACAGCCCTGGCCCCCTGATCTATTGGTGAGGGAGGGCCCCCATCCCTCCCCACACTCCTCTCCCAAGCCGAGACCTTGCCCGTGGAAGCCACTACGGACTTCAGTGGTGCTTCTTACTGTAGGTCTAAGGGTTCCTCCTATGTAGCAGCTCCTCCCCGTCTCCTGGGCATGTGTCCAGGGCTCTGCTCCCAGCGCTGGCCAGGCTGCCAGGTTTCTGGGGAGGCAGCGGCAGGAATTTCAGGGCCTTAGTCACCATCCATGGCATCATCTCATCTCAGTTCCCAGGGCAGGGGGTTGCAGAGATCAGGGCTTCTGGCAGCTCCTCTGTCCCTGGTGGGTGGAAGGTTGCCAGCCAAGGAGGGGGTCAGGGTAAGATCAGACCCAGCTGAGCAGGTGAGTCAGAGCAGGCAGTGACTGCAGGGCCAGGATTCGGATCTGGGAAGCAGGATTGAAAGTGCATTTATGTTCACCTAAGCACCAGCCATCCTCTGTGACCCCATCTGCCAACACTTCCCTTTCCCGCCGTGCCAGCCACTACCACCTTACCTGCTATGGCCAAGAGGCATGAGGCTGGGGCCTTGGTTCTGAACAACAGAGAGAGCCCAGAAATTGACCACATCTGCTTCACAGCCATGTCTGGCAGCACATGGGCTCTGCACATCTGTCCCTTTAAGGCTTGACTTCTTGGTTCTCTGGGTAGATCCAAATCTGGCTGGTGGAGCGACCAGGGGCTCCCCAGGAATGCCCACATGCATCTGCTCTTCCTGCCTGAGCTGCAGTGTGCCTCTGTACCCAGTCCCCAGCCTCATGCTGGGAGACACCTGCTGAGCCCGGCACGGGAATGGTGTAAGAGGCAGGAACCGTCCTTGGCCCAGGGACCATAGCCTCTCGCTGGGCCTTCCCCGCCCAGGGCTGTGTGGTGCTAGCTGCAAGCGAGTCACTGTCAGCCCTCCCATCCCCAACTGCTGCTCTCAAGCCCCAGGTTTCTGGAGAGCAACAGCCTGGGTGCACCTGGTAACGGACCGCCCCCTCCCTTAGGCCTTGTGTTCAGTTGCCGCACGGTTGAGTACTTGATGTTGTACTTCCTGTCCTCGCATCAGTATTGCCCCTCCCTTTCACCCTGACACTTTGTCTCATTCCTGTTCTCACTACTGCCCAGAAATGAATAAAGTCTCCCTAGCTCCAGCTGTGTTGCTGGGCAGGTGTCTTGATGGATTAAGATGTGGCTCCTTTCAGGAGCTGAGGCTCCCTGGGCCGGCTGCTGTCTGTGCAGAGTCCTAAGTGTGTGGTTGCAATGAGAGGCCAAGCTTCATGGAGTCTCCTTCCCCTCCCCACACACATACAGATGGAGGCTGGGAAAGGTGGGAGTTACAGTTCCTGGGGCAGGGTAGTCACTCGGGCTCACAGCAGGTGCCTGCCAAATTCAGGCATGTGGACCTCTGAATGCAGGTAGCATTTTTAAAAGCTCTGAAGTTGAGGAGGTTGAAGCTTAGCCACAACCCCTCTGTTGGGATCTAGCATTTTAACTGCCACTGGGTAGCACAGCAGTACAAGGAAGTACAGGGCATAAGCAAGGTCCAGGAAGGCTGGCCTGGATACAGGCTGCCTGGCCGCTCCTGGTGTTTGCCAGTCGGGGTGAGGGAACCATCTGATGCCCCTGGTCAGCTGGAGGTTCAGACCAGATGATAATGTGCTCACAGATGGACAGATTCTTTCGGACCCCTGGCCAGAAAGGACTTGGTCATGGGAAAACACTAAATTGAGCATGGAGACTACTCTTCCACGGCTGGCTATGGGCCCAGGCCTTACTCAGAGTGACAGGGGCTTGGCAGAAGAGCACAGTTCCCTTCCAAACAGCAAAGTCAGTCTTCCTGATTCTGGTAGAAATGCTCTCAGTTCCACACTTTTGCTCAGGAGGGTGAAGGGAGGGAGGGAGTGCGCCCAAGGTTTGGGCGGCACAGGGAGGGCAGCGCCCCCTGGTGGAAGGTAGAAGTGGTCCATCCTCCTCCTGGGAACAGTGAAGCCAAAACTACTTTATTCATCGCACACCTACTGGTGCACTGGGGACCTCCACCATCCTTCCCGCTCCAGGCCAGCTCGCAGCAGTCTCTGCGCTCCCTCTCCTGGGCTCTGCCTCACATGGATGACTGTCCACCTTAAAAGGTAACTTCTCTCCCTCAAAGCAGTGGACTCCCAGGAACGTGGGGTGACAATAAGGCACAGGAGTGTCAGTGTATGCATTGGGGACTTGTGTTTCTTCAGCTGTGGGAATCCACGAACAATGCCTGACCCCCACTTTGCGGCACTGTTGTTTCTGACAATGGAAATGGGGGTGCTGTGTGCACTGCTGGCAACAGTGCAACGCACAGGTAAGTGACCCAGGCAATGAGGGAGCCTGCCCTTCCAGGCCAGGGGAGGGGTTTCTAGGGCCTCGCCTCCAAGCCTAGAGCTCGCTTTCCCCCCACCCCACCCCGGTTTGCCCTCTAATGCATGCAGTTCTACAGACTTCCCGAGCTCCTATCACTGTCACCACCACCAGTAGCAGCCACCCTCTGTTCAGGGGACACACTGCTCTTCCATTGCCCGGCACGCTCACACTGAACCCTCACAGCAGCTCTGCAAGGCTGCGATCAGACTCTATTTTCTAGAAGGGTGAGATGTGGCTGCTCTGCCTGGCAAACACCCAAGCCAGGTATGCCTGTCCTCAAGGCTGACACTGACCAGGCTGCCACGTGCTGCTTTCCCAAGTAGTGGCTGTGTCATTCCTGAGTTTCCAAGACTTAACTCCACACTGCTGATTCGACTCAAATGCCTCAAAGTCGGGAGCGATGATGCTAATTTATTTACCACATTAAGATCCTGAGCTTTCAAAGACTTCCCAGTTCCTGGCCAGGGAGAGTTAACACACCCTCCATTCCTACTGCTGTCTCTCTGGAATTCCTTTCCTTGCCAAAGCCCAATACAGTTTAGGGTCTGAAACCTGCTCACAAGTCAAGGAACCATTACTTTAATGTCCATTTCACAGGGGATATGAAGTGAACATAATCAGGTTGACTTACCCAATACCCGCAACCAACCAGGCCCAGCTGACGAGCTTCTTATCCCGGGCTAAGTTTTCTTTGTGCCCAATAAGTGGGTTCCAGCTCAGGCAGGTTTATAGAACTCAGCAGCACTCATGGCACCCAAGAACCAGCCACATTCCACACAGGAAGGACGGGAGCTGTTCTGAGCAACAGATGGCCACGGCTCGTCTTTGGCTCCAGAACGCAAAAGACATCATCAGAAATAGACTCAGCAAGAGGCGGCTGCACCGCGCTCCACCTCCCACGGCTGCTGCAGCTTCCACCGGAGAAGGATGTTATACCCGCTTCCGGCTGGCATGTGTGCTGGGGCAGCAGGCGGAGTCACAGTGCAGGGCAGTCTGTGATCCTGGGGAAGGAAGGGGCAAGGAGGAGCTGCCCCCATCAGACCTCAGGGTGGTGGCGAGAAGCGTCATAACAGATGGCTTTGGCCCAAGCAAGGGCCTGGCACCCCCCGCCCCAGGATCACAAACTGTTTCCCTCCCCATGTACCCACCTCATTCAACTGGCCCTGTCGGGAGACTCCATGACATCTAAAATGATCAACAGTAAACGGAAAAAGGCAAAAATTTATTTGGAAAAAAATAAACAATAAACAGAGCTTAAATTTGAAACCTCTATTTCATTTCAAAACAAAACACAAAAACAACAGAATGTCTCGAGTGCTCGCCCTCTACCATCTTTGGCCTCGTGCAGCCTGTATCTCCTGGCAGAAGGGACCTGGGGCAGGCCCTGGTCCTAGGGGCAACAGGGCTCTGTTGGGAAGCCATTTTGGAAGGTGCTGGGGATGGACGGACGGACAGAATGAAGGGCGGGGTGTGGACAGACAGGCCTGGGGCTCAGACAGGCACATGCCCAGTACCTTGGAAATAAACTTGCAAGATACACATACACAGAGAAATTCCCCAGAACCTAGACATGGAACACTTAGAACCACGGTCGCAGCAGGAGGATTCAAGCTGGGTCTTTGGCTTAGAAAACAAGGAAAGAGCGATAAATTCTGGCTCACCGTCCCTAACTTGGGCCTCCAAGGCCATTCTCTTCCGTTTGCTGTGGGTTGAGCAGGCAACTGCAAGTTAAGGCAACAGGGACCCCGCACGCTCCCCTACTATGAGGGGGTGGCGCGCCAGGAAATGACAGGAGAAGGCGTGCATGTGACACTGTGGGAGAGGTCCCAGATGGCTCCCGGTTAGGGGAGGGGACACACAGAGCAACCCCCAAGGCACAATGAGTCCCCAAGGTCTTGCACCTGTTCTACTCCAGGTCACCTCTCCATGAGACCATTTAACCTGAGCTAAGTGGCAGGCTCCTCAAGGGAGGAGATGAAGGTGAGTGGCAGAGGCAGGAGGCAGCTAAGGGGTAGGAGGGGAGGAACGGGAACTGTGTCCCCGGAGTGTGTGTGTGGGAGTGGGGGGGGGTGTGTAGGAGACTAGCCCCTCGGCTGAGGCACAGCAGGGCCACCCCTCTTCCTCCTCCTGGGTGCTCTGCAAGCACCAGTTTCATGTAGGTTCTTTCTCTTCATCCTTGAAGAGTTTTAGACCTCAGTCGCTGCCCCAGCCCACTGAACTCCACACAGGGGTTCAACTTCTGCCTTGTTCAGGGCCACCTAGGGAAGCAGTGCCCTGGGGAAATCACATCGGCTCCCCACCCGCTAATCCCCGGTGGGAATGCATCCCTCAATCTGCTGCTCCATGTTCTGGGACCCTCACCCTCACAGCCCCAATGAGCCTGATCTGAATAACCAGGGGACGAGGGGAAGGAGGACCCCGTGTCCTTGCTGTCACGAGCAGTGCACAGCCGCTCGCACACACCGTCATCCTGTGCCCCCAGATCTGGCCATGGCTCTAGCATGCAAAGTGGGCCAGGCAGAGGCCAACAGGATGGGCATGTGACACAGGCAGCTCACATATGCATGCAGACCAAGAGGCTCGGCCCCGGCTCCCGAAGGCAGGGAGTGGGGTCAGGTCAGAAAGTACCACCAAGAAACAGCCTGAAAGCAAATAACCAATGAGATCAAGAGCTCCCGCAACCCTGGTAATTAAAAATCAAGGCGGAGTGCTGGATACATAGAAGGAAGGGGGAGACCCCCTCCCCCTTCTACCTCTCCCAGGGCCACGCACTGAGTGTGTGGCACAGGATCAGGAAGAGGTTGGGAGAGGGACCAGAGGCAGACAGCGTGGGTAGTCCTGGAGAAAACCTAACCGTGGGAGGTAGGGAGCAGCAGGGGAGGGCCGTGGGGACGAAGTTTCCAGAAGCATGGGGTATTTTCCAAAGTCTCTGATCCGCTGAGCTCGTCCCCTGGGAGCCCATCACGGGGCGGTGACTTCCATCCCGAAGCTGGCTAGCAGGCAGAGGTGGTCGGAAGAGCAGAAGGGGTTGGGTAAGCCGTTGGCGGCCCACAGGATCTCCTCCGAGAGGAGGGAGAGGCGGCCCAGGAGCTTGAGAGTTCCATCTCGATACAGCCTGGGATCTGGGGCACAAAGCAGACGCCAGTGTGGAGCAGCCGCAAGGACACAGGGCATAGGGCCAGCAAGGGCCGCGTTCGGGGAGTTGCACTCCGTGTGGGTGGGCTGTATGCCCCCTCGGCAGCCTACCCCTTGCCTCCCTTCCTTCTCCTGTGCCCTCTGGGCAGGAGGTCTCTGAGATGCCCATGACAACCTCAGTGACTGAAAACAGGCAGGAGAGGGCCAAGTGCATAGGAGCACATGCCCAGCCCCAGTAGCATGACACCCTTGGATGAGCCAAGGAGAAGGAAATCCAGGTCGTCTAGAAAGCCTGATTTGTGAGCATAGACAAGCTACTCACTTCATACACCTGGCTTTATCCAAGAGTCATGCAGCTACAGCGCTGGTACACGTGACCCCTGGGCACGGGGAGGACTCCAGCACAGCCTCGGCCCTCACCAACTGAACGAAGCTGGCTCCTCCTCAGGGTCTCCTCTCCTCCTCTAAATTAGGGGTAGGAGAGTGCCTATCCTATGCCCTCCCTGTCCTGCTGCAGCAGCCAGGTGGGCCGTGGGAAGCACGGAAAGCGTGCGCAGTGCCCCAGGCTGCTGGGAAGTTCCACTGCTTTGCTGTTTAGACCCCAGACAACCCAGGGCAAGGCCACCTTTGTCCTCCCCACCCAGGACGCGCTGCGCTCACCAGTTCTGTTTCCATTCTCACAGGACTCCGCTGAGAAGAAGATGTAATCCACCGTGGCTCCCAGCCCCAAGGGCATGGTGGTGACTTCTGGACGCCCGTGCTGGGGCAGGAAATGGGTGTACACCGAGCTCAGGTGCAGGCAGTGCTGGAGGGTGCCTGTGGTCCTAGCAGGCAGCAAAGGAAGAGGCCAGTCAGCTGAAACCCTTCCATTTTCCCCAGGTCACTGTCCCTGGAGGGGGACAGGAAGTATGTATTTTTTAAGGGATGGTTCCCCAAGCAGATCTTCCCCTGCTGGGAAGAGCTGGTGAATTCAGCTAGGAGTAGCCTGAAAACAGATACACCGAGACTCCCTGACACTCGTCCCCACCATCGTCCTGCTACCTGGGGCACCCTCCTTGGGAGCCAGCAGGCCTTCTGTGAGGCTCTCCCCCCGGAGAAAGATGGCACACACAGGCTTTCCACATGTCCCCCCATCAGCCTAGCAAGGATCAGGGGAAGAGACGGATCAGCAGCACCTACTGAACCTGCAGAACCATCCCGAGACAGCCAATGAGATGCTCTCGTCTCAGGACAGCCAATGAGATGCTCTCTCATCTCAGGACAGCCAATGAGATGCTCTCGTCTCAGGACAGTCAATGAGATGCTCTCGTCTCAGGACAGCCAATGAGACGCTCTCTCATCTCAGGACAGCCAATGGGACTCTCACAGAACAGCAGGGTCTGGGCTGAAGGTGGAAAAGCAGTATGGAGAGAAGGTTACCTGGGGAAGACAGGCTCAAGGTCAGGTGTGTCTTCCTCAAGGATAGACTCGGACTCGGCCCAACCAGCGGGTCGCTCTGTCAGGGACCAGAGAGAAAAAGTTTGGTTTTTTTTTTTAAACAATTATTTATTTATGTGTTTATAGATTATTATTTTTATTAGAAAGACAGATATAATGGAGGAGGAGAGACAGAGAGCAAGATTTTACATGCGCTGATTCAGTCCCCAAGCGGCCACAATGGCCGGAGCTGAGCCAGTCCGAAGCCATGATGGACACTTTGCAAGTGAACCAGAAGATGGAAGATCTCTATCTGCTTCTTCAGACTGTTTCGGGTTAATGCACATCCCAGGAGCAGCAGGTGATGGTTCACGGACAGGTCCCTGGCACCCACATATGACACTTGGACCTAAGTTCTGGGCTCCTGTTTTAGGCCTGGTCTAGGCAGAAGCTGTGGCAGGCATTTGAGGAGGGAACCAATGGCTAAAAGATCTTGCTCTCTCTCTCTCTCTGCCTTTCAAGTCAACTGAAAATCAATTTTTAAAAAGTCTGAAGCCAATCTGATTATTTACACTAAACGTAATTTGTGTAATTTTTTTTAAAATCTCTGAGTTCTAGTAACTTCATCAGGAACTGTGAATTTCCTGATTTTTTTTTTAATAAGACAACCTTTTAATAAGACAATCTATACATTTTGGGAAGAATCTTGCTTGCATCACATCTTCTAGTATTCCTCACTGCCAGGAAACCGGTGCTCTTCTCCACGAGCCCTGGTGCGGCACTGCTGTTCCTCTGTCTTTCACTGCTGCTGTTCTCTCTCCAGTTCCTTTTTGGTTTTTTAAGCTTCCTTTTCGTTTGGCTTGATTTCTGTCTAGATGTGAGTTTGCTGGCTTATGACCCTGACCTTGTGTTCTGCAGGGCGCATTTTCTTCGCTTTATGTAGGTTTTTCTGTTTTTATTCCCATTCTGAGTTCTACAGCTGATAATTCACCTTTTAATATACTAGTGGCTAGAGTCCTCACCTTGAACATGCTGGCATCCCATAAGGGCGCTGGTTCTAATCCCAGCAGACCTGCTTTCCATCAGTCTCCCTGTCTGTGGCCTAGCAAAGCAGTCGAGGATGGCCCAAAGCTTTGAGACCCTGCTCCCGTGTGGGAGACCCGGAAGAGGCTCCGGGTTCCAGCCATTACAGTTGCTTGGGGAGTGAACCATCAGATGGAAGATCTTCCTCTCTGTCTCTCCTCCTCTGTATATATCTGCCTTCCCAATAAAAATAAATAAATGTTTTAAAAACAAAAGCAAAAAAAACAGTAAGAAAAAAATAATCAAATTTCCATTTGCTCCGATGGAACCATTTTTATCTTTGAAGCTAAAGATTCTTTAGTCTTCCATTCCTTCCTCCTACTTTTAAACAGTATTTTAGTCTAGATTCCACACTGATCCTTTTATGTAAGGATCCTTTTATGCTGAGCTTTTTCTGCAACCACTACTTGTATGAAGTTCACCCAAGGAAAGGGCTAGGCATCCACTCCCAGAAGCACGCACAGCAGTGTGCAGGTCCGTCCACATTCACTTCTCCCAGCCTAAAGAGGCTGGAAGCTCAGTAAGTAGCCCATATGGGTGGTGTTCTAGATACTGCTGCTCCACTTTTGATCCAGTTCCCTGCTTGTGAAGAAAGCAGCAAAGGATGGCCCAAATTCTGGGGCCCTTGCACCCAAGTGCAAGACTTGAAGGAAGCTCTTGGCTCCCAGTTTTGGACCAACCCAGCTCTGGTCACAGTGGTCATTTGGGGGACTGAACCAGTGGACCAGTGGATGGATGAACAATCTCTTCCCACCATTCTCTCTCTCTCTGATTCTGATTTTCAAGCAAAATAAATCTTAAAAACGAGGAAAGAAAGAAAAGAAAGAGGGAAGAAGAAAAGAAGGAAGGAAGGAGAGAGACAAGACAAGACTAAGAAAGCACATCCCTCGCAAACAGCAGAGGTGAGGCACATGGCTGGGTCTGTTACCTGGCTTCGTGTCTGTCACTCCTTCCATGAAAACTAGCCCAACTGGTCGCTGACAGGCGATGTCACAGAAGCGGAAGCGTAGCAGGAAGTCTCGGCTGTACTTCCGTCTTTCTGTGAACCAGGGAGAGCCACAGAGTGAAGAAAAGGGGAAGGAGTCACACACATGCCAGGACTTCCTGCCACGAAGCTTCCAGCTTAGCGACCCGGAGGAAGTCTGGCTCTGACACAGATCTCCTGACAGCTAGGCCTGAGTCCTCCACTCCCTGGGGACCATGGGGAAGTGGGACAGGGAGGGACATAGGGGAGCTGCTGAGAGAATGGGGGCTTCCCTGGCTCTGGGCATCAAGGTGTTTCAGCTATCTCCGGGGGTGGGCAGGAAACAGCCAGCGGAGACACCCGCTCACCTTCTCTCTTGGGATGGCAAGATGTGACATATTGACAGCGATCTGTGATGCCCAGGGAGCTGGGCCACAGGGGGGCCTGCAGCTTCCTCTGGTAAAACTGGTGGGAGAAGTCTTCCTGCCCAGACACCTGCAGGGAAAAGGAAGGTGGGAAGGAGGAGATGGTGACAACGCAGGGAGCAAATCTGAAGATGCTAAGGACAGAGATGAGCCATGTGTGATCACACACTATATACGAGGTGTCAGCAAGTCACGGCAAACCTCATGTGTGATCACACACCACATATAAGATATGAACAAGCCACAGTAAACCTCACGCGTGATTATACACTACACATGAAGTATCAGCAGGCCACAGTAAGTCCCAGGGAAAAGTTTAAAAAAACAAAAAAAGGAGCTAGCTAAAACCCAATACCTTTTCACTGGAAATGCTCAGATATCCATGAGACAGGAATGAAGGGCAAGACGGGGAGGCATGTGTCAAGGAGGACAGATCTTCACAAACATGTGAACCGCGAAACCTCATCTCAGAAACACACACCCCATGCTACACAGGGAGCATCAACATCCGGGTCTCTACCTGTGACAGGACACAGGGACCCTGACCTTTGTATCTTCTGGAGCACAGTCTAAGGTCTGGGGTCTTTGACCACCAGGTCAAATGCAACGGGCACAAACGCCAAAGCTCTTTATCACATCTAGGTTGCTAGCAGCCCGGAAGTGCGCAGTGCATGGCGGGAAGGGGACGGCATTCACTGCATCACTCACCTGCAGCACATGGAATAGAATTCTCTTCCTTCCTTTAACAGCAGCAAACACTTGAATGCCAAACACATGCAAGATACTAGCTACGTGCTGGGCAGAGAGCAGTGACAGACACAACCCCTCTGCCTGTTGAGGGCGTGTTTTCAGCGGTGTCCAAAGCCTGGAGCATGTTGCCTGTCACCAACTGTGTGACTGTGGGCAAGTTGGCTAACCCTCTCAGGTTCAATATCCTCCACTTTCAAACAGGACAGTAACACTATTCACAGCTAAAAATCTTAACCACGATGACTGAGTATTGACTGTTTCCTCTGAGCCAGGCACTGGAAAACACTTACCATGCGAGTTAACCCACACACCACCCTCTCCCTAAGAAAAACCATGAGAGCATGTCTTATGACGGCCCTGAGGTACAGCTGAGGCGGACAGTGCCCACCCCGAGAGTCGTCGGGCCTAACCTCGACCTTGCCAAACAGGACCTCTCCCAAGGCAGGCATCCAGTGAAGTCTCTTTCCTGAAGTGATTATGGCTGTGTTAGGGCAGGGCCAGGCCTTTTTTGATCCACACAGCAACCAGGACATCACTGGCACTTGAGTAACCACATTAAAATCAAAGGCCATTGTGCTGAACCATAATCCCATCACCCTGTGTCCTTTCTCCCAGCCAAAACTTAAGCAACAAGTTGGACTGGTAAGAGCAAGACAGGGAAACAAAGGGCCATGACCTACACACACACAATAAGTACATGCCAATTACAACTCCATGATATCAGCACTCACTAGTTAAAGATAGAGGTCCATCCATATGTAAATTGCTGAGCCAGAGGAAAACAAGCTACAGACAAGCCTCCCAGGTATATCAAGTTTATAAAGCTCATTGACAGGTTACATATCAGCTGTCACAAGCAAACACAGCAGAGGTCAGATCCCTGGGGCCAGACAACCTGGTTGTAAAATTCTGACTCCACCACAAACCAGCTGCATTAGCCACAGAACCTGACTTAGCTTCTCCAGTTCCCTCCTCACAAAGTGGAAACAATGACAACATTAGAGGAAGTTATTAAGACAAGTAAAGGGCTTAAAACAGCAGCAGATCCACAGTTAGAGCTTAACAAATGTACATTTTGATTACAACACCGCAAGAACATGGATATCTCCGTAAATGCAGAAAAGCAAACTGGACAAAGGCCAGCCAACTTGGAACAGTCACCCCTCGACTCTACAAGGAGAAGGTAGGGACCACCGGTTACCCAGGGCAGGTGCTGCCGCATAAAGATTTGGATTCTCATAAGAAGGTAGTACATCCGTTACATGTGAACCAAAAATAATGATACAAAAACGGAAATGACTGCAAAATTCCAAAGACACTCAAGTGTTCCTCCCTCCCAGGCTTGGTCATAGCTACTCCACCTAACAGGAAAAAGCAGGTGGGAGCTAGAACAGGTGTCCCCAGTGTCCCCACCACAGAGGCAGCAACAGTCGCTTCTCTCTCCCTAACCCGTGTTCCCACCCCCACAGCGCCCCTCCCGCTTCACCTTCCAGGCTGGCATCCCATGGTACTGGAGCTCTCCATCCCTGATGAAGTTGTAGAGAGGCGAATCGGGGACAGAATTCAAGTCCCCACACAAGATGATGGGGCAGTGGCTGCCGTCTGACAACCTGGCCACCTTGTCCACTTCGGCCAAGAGAATGGCCATCTGGGCCAGCTTCACATCACCACGGCGTGGATTGTATAGGACGTGGGTATTTGCCACACATAGTGGGGCCACAGAGACAGGCCCCAGGCCTTCTGGCACCAGCGGCTGCAGCAGCAACACCAGGCCCACGTTGTCCCGATTGAGGAGCTCCAGGCCCGGCCGGAAGTACTCCACAGGGCTGGCGCAGAGCAGGCGGAATCTAGTGGGCTTGTAGCACACAGCACAGCCATCCGTTTTACACCCCGTCCTCCTCTTATAGAAACAGGTAAAACCTGCAAAGAAATCCTATCATGGAGATGCTGAGTTCTGCAGGCTGGAGCTCTTTTTATCTGGCAGCAGAGACCCGTGTACCTTAGGCTCAGTAAGGGAGCCTAGCCCTTGTTACCCTCCCAGGTCCAGCAGAGGCTCCCTTAGGGCTGAAACTGAGGGCTGGACGGGGAAAGAGGGAAGGAAGGATATGAAGCAATATTCATATAGTATTATCAGAGGAACATGGACTCTGCAGTCCAATTAGGTGGAGTCCCAGAAGCAGGAATTATGGTATAGCAGGTAAAGCCACCTCCTGTGATGGCAGCATCCCATATTGGCACCAATTCCTGTCCTGGTTGTTCCACTTCCAATCCAGCTCCCTAATAAAGTGCCTGGGAAAGCAACAGAAGATGGCCCAAGTCCTTGGGCTCCTGTACCTACGTGGGAGGTTCGGAAGAAGTTCCTGGCTCTTGGCTTTGGCTTGACTCAGCCCAGGCCATTGCAGCCATTTAGGGAGTTAACCAGCAAGCCCAAGATTTCTCAATCTCTACCTCTCTCCTCCTTCCCTGCCCCACTCTCCATGTGTGTATATGTCTCCTTCTCTCTCTCCTCTCTAACTCTGCCTTTCAAGTAAATTAATTAAATTGGGGGCATGTGGAGAAAGATACAGTTCCACTCCTACTAGTCTTTATAGCTTTGTGCTTGTGAGCCCACACAGTTTTAGAACCTTGACTTCACCTGTCAAATGGGCATTAACACTCAGCCACACCAGGCTGGTACGTCAAGGATGAAATGGCCATGTACACCAGGACTGCTTTAAAACTGCACACGTTGGGGCCTGCATTATGGTATAGCAGGTAAGGCTACCTGCTGTGATGCCAGCATCCCATATGGGCACCAATTCCTGTCCCAAACCAGCTCCCTGCTAATACCCTGGAAAAAGCAGTGAAAGATGATGCAAGTGTTTGGGCCCCTGCCACCCGCATAGGAGACCCAGATGAAGGTCCTGGCTCCTGGCTTTAGTTTGGCCTAATCTCAGCCATTGCGAGCATCTGGGAAGTGAACCAGAAAATGGAAGATATCTCTCTCTGTGTGTCTCTCCCCGCCACGCCACCCCACCCCAACTCTTTTAATGAATAAATAATCTTCAAAAACAAAACTGTAAGCCTCTACTTTCTTCACTCCCCACACATGGGAGGAGCTGGCTGTGAATCTGGGACAGAGGGGCCTACAGGATGTCTGGCACATGTGCCGGGGACTGCCTTACCCATCATCCGCAAGGAAGGCTCTAGCTGCTCCCAGTAGTGATCTTCCTGGACTTCCTGCAGACACAGGATCTGAAGGCAGACAGAGAAAGCCACGATCACTTGGCACCCTCTGGGAGCAGACCTGAGCCTAGGGGTGGGGGAGGCTGCTGCAGGTCTGGGGGAGGGGTCACAGGACCAACTCTCCCCTCCCCGCTGCAGATACCACAGCAAGGAAGGACAGGCTGAAGCTGAGGGGACTAGACATGTGTGCTGCCTCCTGGTCCCTGACAGCCCTTGCAAAGCATCAAGATATGGCAAGTGCATTCCTCGGGAGATTTCTGTCTGGCATCAGCCCCAAACCAACAAACCCACACCTGTTGTCTGTTCCACCATGGCATGGGGTGGGACTCATTGGCTAAGGACGCTCTGAACTCACATCCGGGTCCCAGTGCTGGAACTCCTGCATGATGTTAGCAAAGCGGTAGCTCCAGCTGAGGATGTCGGGATGGCAATGCAGGTAGAGCTCAGAGCTCTGCTGCATCAGGTCCTGGGCCAGGATGTTATAGGACATCAGGGTGAACTGGAACTGAGGGCCATCCCCAGCCTCCAGGCCTTGTGGGTCCGGCTGCGCGGAGAAATCCTCCCATTCGCGCCACAAGATTTCTGCAAAGGGGTTGTGGGTTAGAGTTTGAGAACACGGCCACTTGTGTGCTACAGCTGCCCCTGCCCAGCCCACCCCCTTCCTGCACCATTCCTGCCTCACTGCTGGTAATATCTAAAGGTCTCCTTGACCCCTGGCTATCTCTGTGGATGGACCCCAAGGACATTCTTGGGACCAAAGAGAAGCCTGGCCCATCAGCACAGCACCACCTCCCCAAGGATGTAGCACCAGCTGGATGTTCAATCCCTGGAGTCATTTCAACCTTGGGTATTTACAAACCTCTAATTCTAAAAAAAAGTCTACCAGGGCCAGAGACCACAATGCACACCTCCACCCCATCTCCTTCTTAGTTATGTGGGGAGCAGACTGGAGTTCAAACCTCTGTGAGCCACTGAGTCCTTGCTTCAAGTACTAAAGGCCACCCAACATGTGCCCCAGAGAAAACAGGAGTCACTCCAGCCCTGGAGTCACCTCCAGAGAAGCATGAGTGGGGAGCAGAACCAGGGCCTCGTCCTCGCTCCTGGGACAGCTGGCTGCACTGCACCACGACCCCACCACCTCCCAGCACCATTTGCTCTGAAAGCCCAAAGGAGAAAAGCAGAGCCCAGCAGGAGCCCAGCTCCAGACCAGGCATTTGCTCCTCCACAGAGGCTCTTCCCACACCTGGTGCCCTCTGCCAGGGCCCGTCAGCCCTCTGGAGGCCTGACTCACCATGATATGGTATTTCCATCGGAGGCGGCTGTAATTGCCCCAAGCCATCAAAGGACCACATGGGGGTCTCCTCCTGGGGCAGAGGCTCAGGGGCAATGCTCCAGGCCACCACAGCAGGGTCCTCTTCCCACTGCTCAGCAGCCGGGGGTGCACCCATTGGGAGGACAGCACAGTCTACATACTGGGGTCCTGTCTGCATGGGGACAGCTGCCCACATGGTGCCCTCGGCCTCGGGCAGCGGCTCTTCTCCCAGACCCTCGGTTTGAAAAGGCTCTTCCAGGTTCTCGGCTGCCCGCAGGTCGCTCAGCTGCCGGCTGGACCACTGGTCCTCCGCAGCAGTGTCATGTTCTCCAGGAGGCTCCATCAGCAGAGCCAGGCTGCTCTGCGCCAGCCCCTTGTCAGCCAGGGGGCCCTCACTCGCAGCTGAGAGCACCTGGCTCGCCCCCTCTTCTCGCCACTGCTGCAGCAGGCCTTCACACTCCTCCTGCTCGGCACCCCGAGGGGCCATGGCAAAGTCGCCCTCTAACTGGGGGGATGTGCTCTTTGCCAGGAGGGCATTTTTCCGACATGTGAAGAAAGCATCTAAGAGGAAAGGCAGAATACCAGGTTAGAAAAAGGCAGCACCATGGGGTTGGCACAATAGCTCAGCAAGCTAATCTTCTACCTCCAAGCATCAGCACACCCCACCCCAGTGGGTGCCAGTTCATGTCCTGGCTGTACCACTTCTGATCCAGCTCCCTTTTTATGGCCTGAGAAAACAGCAGAAGACTGTCCAAGGCCTTGGGACCCTGCACCCACGTGAGAGATCAAGAAGAAGCACCTGGCCCCCAGTTTTAGATCAGCTCAACTCTGGCCATTCTGGCCAATGGGGAGGGGACCAGTGGATTGAAGATCTTTGCTTCTTCTCTCTGTAAATCTGCCTTTCCACTAAAAATAAATAAATCTTTAAAAACAATTTAAAGGCAGCACTACATAGCCCACCACCTTCTCTCAGTGAGAATGGAAGCCACACGTGAGCTGACCTTAACACTGGCCCATCACCATCACAGCCAAGTGCAGCCCCAATGTACCCTAAGTTCTTCACCAGTACTACCTACTTGACTTACATGGCAAACACATACACCTTCATGCAGGGCAAGAAGAAAACAACCACTGTCCTGCATAATCCAGGACACTGCCAGGCCTCCTGTGGCATAGCCCTTTTACCTGGATGACACAGTATTCCAGACAGCGACTTTTTGGTTCTGAGAATCACATTACATTGGAACCACACATCAGAACGGCAGGCTATGGAATCTAACGCTGATATTAACTGACCCTAGACAGCGAGCCTACAGGGACGATGGCCTTACTCTTGACCATTAAGATAGAAACAAGACAGAATGGGACGAGACCATCTCTAAGAGTTTTGCAGGCTCTATTAAACGCGGAATCTACAAACACACTGCAAAATTAAAGCCCAAAAGCAGTCTCAAAATCCACACAATTTCTGCTGCAGGCAGACCCCAAGGCTTCTTGCCAGAGCTATTTATTCCACCTGTGAAATCTTCACAAACGCCATTATCTGCTTTCTCATCCCACCACACACTAGAGATTGGAAACCAGAAGGTGCTAAGCACGGACTGTAAGAGACAGCTGTCACCTCTCCACTACAGCAGCCACACACGACAGCCAACCAGCGAGGCAGCAGGCGGGAAAACTCTAAAATTAGAGTCCCCAGGCTCCAGGCACAGGGTGTTGGTGACAGCAAGGCACGCATAGTCGCTCACAGCACAGTGTAAATGCCACACATACCACAGACCCACAATCGCTAGAGATTGGTTTTATAAGTCCTGGCATTTTGATTGAAAGGCAAAAGAGCATCAGAATGGTTCGAATATGGAACAATGACTCAAATGTCTTATTGATGGCCTGTGTGCTTTTAGGTCTTGCTACACCAATGCTTTCCATCTGGGGTCTTTTGCCCTCCAGGGTCACGACTGGGGCAGTGCACAGGTACTCAAGGGCTAGAGGGCAGGGCCACTGCTGAACATCCACAACCAAGGATCAGGCCCCAACTCACCACAGTGCCAAAACCAGGTTGGGCGGCTGCTGACAACCTGCCCCTTGAAACCCTCTGTACAACAGAGGGCAGAGGTTCCTGGGCTTATAGACACAAGGTGACCAGCTCCTACAAGTTAGCAGCTTTTTTGTGTTAGTACTTTGTCTCTCAGAAGAATGCATTCATTTAAAAACATAAGAATCATCATCTACAGGGCCAGCACATTGGCTCAGCTGGTTAACCCTCCACCTGCAGTCACCAGCATCCCATATGGGTGCTGGTTCGATGTCCAGTCACTCCACTTCCCATCCAGCTCTCTGCCTGTGGCCTGGGAAAGCAGTGGAGGATGGCCAAATGCTTGGGACTCTGCACACCATGTGGGAGACCCAGAGGAAGCTCCTGGTTCCACGCAGTTCCAGCTGCTGCAGTCATTTGGGGAATGAACCAGTGGATGGAAGATCCTGTCTCTCTCTGCAAGTCAGCTTTTCAAATAAAAATAAATCCTCTTGAAAAATCTTACCTAAAAACTGGAAAAGCAAAATACAAGCGCAGCTCCAGAACTCTCAGGATCTGGAAACCTCTGGCTCACTGAGCCTGCCCTGGGGCACGCAGGTTGAGCACCCTCCAACAGCAGCCGCAGAGCAAGAGGAACAGGGTTGGGGCTGCTGCTGTAGCCTTAATCTCCCAAGTCTCCCCCTGGGACAACCCCAGTCATGGTATTATGAGGGGGATAAACCAGCTGATGGAAGACCTCTGCCTCAAATTTTTAAAAAAGAGAAGCAAATTAAAACAATAAGAAAAAAAAAAAAACAGGCTTAGTTCTCTGTAATTCAGGACTGCTGGAGTGTTTTCCATTCTGCTCCGAGTTCACTGGGTACCTACTCACCACCAGGCAGTGTGTTGGCACTGGAGACACACTGAACAAAACAGGCGCGGCCCTGCCCTGCCAGAGCTGGTACTCTAACGGCAGGCACAACAGCAAAACGGGGATTAAAGACATCTTTTTTTTTTTTTTTTACCTGAAATACAGACTAGCAATTGCACACACACATACACACACTATGTAAAATGTCAGAAAGGAAAACACAGAGTGCACAGCTGGCTCCCTTTCGCACTCCTGCTCTCAAAGCCGCAGGAGAAAAGCCTGGCGGCTTCACAGGCACGAGAAGGGGCCCAGGCTGACACTGAAGCTGTCTCCCATTTCTGACAGGCAGCTGGGGAGCGTCTAGTGTGAAGTTCACCAGGTGAAGCAGGTGCAGTCCGGGCCTCCAGCCCCCACAGGGTCGCCCTGCCTCTGCCTCTCTCTCTCTCTCTCTCTCTCACCGCCTCGCTTGACACAACTCTCCCGGACCCCGCAGCCCGGGCCTCGGCCGGCTCTGCACCTCCAGGGCCAGGGAAGGGAGCCGCTTCCTCCGCCTCCACTCCCGGTTAACCGTGGCCCGACGTCACCGGCCCACAGCGGAGTGAGGAGGGGGCCGTCCACGAGGGCCTCGCGGGTCAGGGACCGCACTGCCCGGGGACGGGGTTGGGGGCACAGTGGGCCCCAAGCCCGGCGCGTCGCCCACTGCCGCACAGACCCGGCCGCAGCCCCGCACAGCCTCGGCCCCGGCCGGGCTCCCGCCTGTCAGGACGCGGGGCCGGTACCTGAGAGGGCGCGGAAGAGGCGCGCGACCGGCAGCAGCAGGTAACACAGGCAAGACGCGATCATGGCCAGCCACGCGCGCCCGCCCCGCCGCTCTCCTCGCCGCCGCCCGCCCGGTCCGCCCGGTCCGCCCCGGCCTTGGCCCCGCCCCGTCTCGCCAGGCCCCGCCCCCAGCCGGCCACGTGGTGCCGCCGCGGGCTTCCTGCGCCCGAGCTTCAACAACAACTTTATTGAGAGTGCGCAGGGTACCCGAGTACACGCACCGGCTGCCACGGCAACAGGTGCGTGCTGCCTGGCTCCCGGTCTCCCATCAACCGCTTGGGTTTCACATGAAGGGCCTCACCGGAAGCTTCATAGTATCATTCAAAAGCCACAGTTTATTCTCACTTTTGTGCACCCGGGGAGGGGGCCTACCATATCAGCTCGCCAAACCAAAGGCTATACTTGACCGAAACTTCTATATTCCAGACCTTCTCATGCCACATCGCCATGGGAGTTTGCTCTTGGCCCTTTTGCTGCTTCTACTGCCCTCCCCTAGGTCACAAATGGAGTCCACCCTTACTCCCTAATCCAGAAGACAAGGGTGTTCTTGGCAAAGTCAGGGGCAAGTCTGATTGGTGGTTGGTTTACCTTGTGGTCTATCACACGTCCCAACCTGGCTGGTTGGCTGGCTGCACCAACCCTCGAGGCAGGTCAGCCGGGCATCTCCATGCCACTCACAAACCTCTTTGAGTGACTTGTCCCACCATCCCTCTGCACCAGGAATAAGTATTCCACCCAGTCACAGTACCCAATGTCTGTGCTGTGCAACTTCCGATTTGTGGCTGAAGCCTTGGTTGTTCAGGGAAGCCCTCTGGAGAGTCACCAGATCCTGGACCGGCTGGGTACATCGTAACACGGAGAGGCTAGGAGGAGGAAGGAGGAAGATGGTCAGTGATGGTCTGGACACTGTGCACCTGCTCTGGCAGCCCCTGGATCTACCCTCAGGTCCTAGCTCTCCAAAGGTCCCCCAAAACCAGATTAGGAATCAATGCACAAAGGTTAGCAAGTTGCTCCTTCGACTCCCCACTCCCTTTCTGAACTGACTCCTTTCCCTCAATGCTGAAATGTGCTCACATCCACCCCTGGACTATAAGGCCCTCCCCTGGCCCCACAGGCCCCTCCAGCCACCCTTCTTTCTCTAAGCCTCTCCACAGCCAGCATCCTGAAGGAGTTGGCTGCACCTGCTCTTTCTGCTTCATCGTCACTCATTCACACTCGTTCCACCTAAACATAGCTTCCACCACTGTCACTTCCACTGGATTCCCTCCCCAAGTTGCTGACACCTTCCTTTTGGTGACAGTGGGAGGTGTGAGAAAAAGACATACTCTTGTTCTTACTGTTTTTTTTTTTTTAATATTTTGCCATTTTGCTCACCTCCTTGTTCCTTGTAAGATTCTCTTCCCTTGGTGTCTGTGACATTCTCATTTTCCTTTTGTCTTTGTGGACCTCCTGTCCTCCCATCCCTCCCTTGTGTCCTCCTGACCACGTTCCTCCACTGATGCTGCCTGGGAGTTCACCTTGGCCTCTCTCCTCCTTTTACTCTACAAACTTTTCTTGGGAAATACTCTCCACTCCATTAACCTCTTCTCTCTCTCTATGCTATCTATCCCAACCCCCCAAGTGGTTTGGCCTTCTTTATATTTACTCCAGGAGCCCACTTCATCTCTTCAGCCACTCCTAAAAAGTGTTGATCCTCCTCGACTCAATTTTCCACACTGTGTGCAACCAGTCCCATCTCTCTACTATGAACCTCCAGTTAGGACACACCACTGCTCCTTATAAACCCCTGCTTGTCTGCAAAATCAACTCAAACTCTGACACAGAGCATCAAAGGCCCTCATGATGGGCCTCCATTTACCTTCCCATCCAGTACTCATTATGTTCTTTCCATCACCATCTTCCCCCAGGAAGAATTACATCCTGCCCCTTACCGCCTACTCGAGAATCCTTCAGCATGTCGTGGGGACTTTGTAAAAGACTATTCCAAAGAGTTTACAGAAAATCGGACCAGTGCCATAGCCTAGGGGCTGAATTTTTGCCTTGCATCTGCCAGGATCCTATATATGCATCAGTTCCTATCGCGGCTGCTCCATTTTCCATACAGCTCCCTGTTTGTTGCTGCAAAGCAGTAAAGGATGGCATAGGATGCTAGACACTTTGCCATTGTCCATGCCAGCAATGATGGACATATGACTGTTTATGAAGAACTATGCTATAGTAATAATACAGGGGAACTCAGTGAGGGGTGCGGAGGAAGCTTAGGGAGGGGTTAAGGGAAATCTCAAGGCCTATGGAACTGTATCATAAAAACATAGTAATAATAATAAAAAGTAAAACTAAAAAAGTTTATTTTGATACAAAAAATTTCAAACTCCATACATGTGAGTCTTCAAAACATTAATTGAAAATACATATGTGTGAAATCTATGCTTGGATTTCAAACGTTTTTGCACCAAGTTAACTTACCTTTTAATTCCATGTTCTAAAATTCATGCATTTATTTATTTATGTGAAAGGCAGAGCTACAAAAATGAGGAAGAGAGAGGGAGAGGCACAGTTTGAGAGAGCTCTTTTATCTAATGGTTCATGTCCCAAATGCCTGGAACTGCCAGAGTTTGGCCAAACCAAAGCCAGGAGCTAGAAACTCCACTCCGGCCTCTCACTTGAGTAGCAGGAGCTGAAGCACTTGGACCACATTCTGCTGCTTTAGCAGGTGCATCAGCAGGAAGGTAGACCAGAAGTGGAGCATCTGGGACTTGAGCAGGCACTCCCATATGGCATGCTGGCATTATAAATAGCAGCTTAACACACTGCATCACAATGCCAGCCAGCCCTTTCCTTTCTAAGATTTTATTATTATTATTATCATTATCATTATCATTATTAGAAAGGCAGAGAGGGAAAGACAGAGTAAGAAGGGAGACTAGAGAGAGAGATCCTTTCCATCTGCTAGTTCACTCCCCAAGTGGCTATAATGGCCACGGCTGGATCAAACCTAAGCCAGGAGCCTGGAATTCCATCTGGGTCCCCCACATGAATGACAGGGGCACTCAGGCCTTCTTCTGTTGCTGCCCAGGCACATTAGCAGGGAGCTGGGTCAGCAGTGGAGCAGTCAGGATTTGAACCTGCGCTCATATGGGGTATTTGTGTCCCAAGCACCAGCTTAACCACTGTGCTACAGTGCCAGCCTCCTGTCAGCCATCATTGATCCTTTTCTCTCCATTCTGTCCCCTGAAGAACTTGCACCTTGAGTAATCGCCTATGTTAATAGCCATCACTTTTTCTCAGGAACCATTGAAGCTGTCCTTGGCTTTGCAACAGTGGCTTAGGTATTCTCACGGGCAATACCTGAATGAATGATCGTAACTGTTACAACAGAAGTTCATAAAAGCAAGCGAGGGACCAGATTTGGCCACTGGATTGTGGCTCAACAAGCCATGTAACACACCAGCTAAGCTCAAACCCGCCTGAGTCATGGGCAGTAGTTGCTCTGAGGAGTACGATGGTCAAAGAATGGCCAGGGGCTAACTGGGAGAGATGGCACAGACTTTATAGCCACACCGCTCATGCTTATCTCCAAGCTCTGCTACTTACTACCACCTGCCTGCTATGTGACCTTGGGCTGGGTACTTAATCTTCCTGCATTCAGTTGCTTCATCTCTATAATGGGAATAATAATAGTATGAAAAGTTACCGAGCAACTTAAGTGCATTCATACATGTAAAATCCACCCAGCAGCACCTGTAGATACAAGAGGCAGGTTAGTAAGGGGTCCACTCGGCCTTGAGCCTGGACTACTGGAGATAAGGAAGATTGCAGTCATTTTCTTAGTACCCACCATCCAGACCCCATCCCAAGTGACCTTATCTGGGGCACATTTCAAGTCCCAGTTCCCCCTCTCCCCTGGCCTCATTTGCCCCTGCCCAGTGGATTAACCACACTCAGGTCATCTCTCACCACCTCCTAGCACTTATCTCACCAAGTTTCCAAGCAGAGCACTCTCTTCAGATGGTGAGATACACACACACACACACACACACACACACACACACACACAGCTGTTATGTGGTTTCTGAAATGCTAGCTCCACAGCAATACTGAAAGGACACAAATTCAACTGATTTTTTATGATGATGATAAGGTGATGAAATTAAAAACGTTTTTTCAACAAATAATGCTCAAGCAATTGGATGTCTATATGCAAAAACAAATGAATCTCACCCTGTGCATCATACCTTATATTTAAAAAAAAAACCTCAAATGGGTCATAGGAAAAGTTCTGGAAGGGGCCAACGTTATAGTATAGCATATTAATCTACTGCTTGCAATGCTGGCATCCCATATCAGAGCACCAATTTGAGTTACAGCTATTCTGTTTTCAAACTCCTACTGAACTACCCGCAAAGGAAGTGGAAAACAGCAATAGTACCTGGGCCCTTGCCACCCATGTGGGAGAGCTGGAAGGAGCTACAGGCTCCTGGCTTCAATTTAACCCAGCTCTGACTGTTGCAGCCATTTGGAAGAATGAACTAGAATCTCTCTTTCATCCAACTCCAGCCAAAGCTGTCACCCTGCCTTTCAGATAAATCTTTTAAAGTTCTAGGGAAAGTGGTGATGTCTGCACAATATTGTGAATATATCTTCATGAGACTGAATTGTACACTTATAACAATATAAATAGTTAATTTTTTCATATGTGTATTTTACTGCAGTAGAAAGCATTGTTAAGTGAATCATAGCTCTGGGTGTAATAGCTAAAACCATAACATTTCTATAGTAAAACATAGGGAAAACCCGTATGAACTTGAATTAGACAATTAACTATGAATCTGAAGCCATGATTATGCACAGACCCTTGGCATAGTGGGTCAAGATGTCACAGGCCTAACACAATAGCTCAATTAGCTAATCTTCCCACTTCAAATGCCAGCGTTTGCATCCTGCCTGATCCCATTAGCATCCAGCTCCCAGATTATGACCTGGGAAAGCAGTGGAGGATGGCTCAATGCTTTGGGACCATGCATCCATGTGGGAGAACCGGAAGAGGTTCCTGGCTTCAGATCAGTTCAGCTCCAGCCATTGCAACCATTTGGGGAGTGGCTGCAGAGAGAAGATATTTCTGTCTCTTCTTCTCTTTGCAAATCTTACTTTCCAATAATAAATGTCTTAAAAAAAAAAAAAGAGGGGCACAGTAGCCTAGTGGCTAAAGTCCTCGCCTTGCACATGCTGGGATTCCATATGGGTGCCAGTTCTAATCCCGGCAGTACCGCTTCCCATCCAGCTCCCTGCTTGTGGCCTGGGAAAGCAGTTGAGGATGACCCAAACCCTTGGGACCCTGCATCCACATGGGAGACCTCAAATAAGCTCCTGACTCCTGGGTTCGGATTGGCCATTGTAGCTGGAAAGAAAAAGAAAAGAAAGGGAAAAAAAGAAAAAAGAAAAGAAAAGAGAAGAGAAGAGAAGAAAAAAGAGAAGAAGAGAAGAGAAGAAGAGAAGAAAAGAGAAGATGGGCCAGGCGTGGTAACCCAGTCACTAAAGTTTTCTCATTGCATACACTGGGATCCCATGTGGGTGCCAACTCATATCCCGGCTGCTCCATTTCCCTTATAGCTACATGCTTATGGTCTAGGATAGCTGTAGAGAATGGCCCAAAGCCTGAGGACCCTGCACCTGCATAGGATACCTGGAAGAAACTCCTGACTCCTGGCTTCGAATAGACTTGGCTTTGGCCGTTGCAGCCATCTGGGTGAGTGAACCAGTGGATGGAAGATCTGTCTCTCCTCTCTTCAAATCTAACTTTCCAATAAAAATAAATAAATCTTTTTTTTTAAGTCAGTCGAGACATCCACATCCCATATCACAATGTCTCTGTCCATATTCCAGCTTCCTGCTAATATATATCCTGGAAGACAATAGGTGATGGATTAAGTACTTGACATGGGAGACCCAGATTGAGTGTTTGGCTTTTGGCATTCCCATATGGGACTCAGATGTCCAAACAGGGACCTTCACCACTAAGGCAAATACCTATCCCCAAGTTGCCTTTTAATTGCCCTTGAAACTACTTCAAATCTACTCTGAAAATTGCCCTGGTCCTCCTGGATGCCCCTACCTCTACCGAGTCCTCTTACTCCTCATACCTTTCCATAACTGACGTCCTCCTTCACTCTGCACTCCTACAAATGCTTTTTTCCCAGTTACCCCTGGAGTCCATGGAAGTATCCCAGAGTGAAGCAGCCTCAACATCTCCCAAACTTCCAGAGCATTCCACTGACCACCCTTTCCACTGGCCAGTGCTGCTCCTACAGCCATGGGTGAGCAGTGGCTCTGGAGAGTTCCTGCCTCCAAACTTTCTAACTCATCCTGCAAAGCCCAGGCCTAGATGTACTGCCCAAATAGAGCACCCAGAGCCTAGACCAGGACCCACACACTCCCTGGGATCTCTTTGCCAGATTATTCATGACTTCTGATTCACTACCTGGCATGGACCCAGTCAGATGCCCCGAGAATCCTGTATACCTGGTCACCCCAAGAGCTGACCACTCCCCTTGGCCACCAAAATACTGCTGTCCTGCTGATTTTGGGTGACTCAACTTGTTTATACGAACAGGGATTCTCCCAAAAATACAGCCCAAGTGGCCCTATCCATTTCTATCATTACTACACATGCCTTGGAAGGCCATTGTCTCAATCTCCTTTGCATTCCCTCCCCACAATAGCACCAATCTCAGTTTTTTGTACCTATTGGATGCTCAGTAAGTGCTATTTAGAATGAACATCTGAAGAACCATAGCAGCTCCAGTGTGTAGGCATCTTTTGAGCCACAGTTAATTTTTTATACAAAATTTACAACTTTGTCATTCTTAGAGCGATTGTTGCATCCCCAAGCCCTCCAGTCACTGACCTGACGGTTGAAGTGCTATCAGCGTACCAAGAAGGAATAAACAGCCTCCAGAATCTGTTGGCAGGAAACTGCAACTGGACTTCAACTCTAAGACATATGAAAACAGCCAAGCATAGAAGTGATGACCAAGTGGCTTCAGGTTAGACGGCCCAGTGGTCCAGATTGAACAATGCTTGGGCTGCAGCCAGCTGCAGTGATAGAACATATGTTTGTTGTGCTTTGCTTTTGGTCTTCTGCTCCAAGGTTGAGGACACTCCCCGAGGGGGAAGCAAAAAGGAAGAACTGGGTGGAAGAAAAATGACTTCACCCATTACTGACATACTTCGTACCCAAAGCACAGCCACCTTGAGAGAAGAACATGGTGGCAGCTCTTCACAGTCACCTGCTGGTGGGGGGGCTTGGGCTTGGTCCTGACTCAGAGAGAAACACAAAACTGGCTAGAGGGCCCCCCACAGCACCTGTGTACTCACAGCCAAGCCTGGGCTTAGCCCCAGTGGACATATGAAAAGATGACTGACAGGGACACCAAGGGGGTGGGAGGCCTGCCGTTGCCAGGTCCACCCACATGGATCACAATGAGTACATGAGGTCATGGAATGTTGAAGATGACATGAAAGTAGCTCCTCAGTCACAAAGTCCCAGTGGGTGGGCCAGGGCTGTCAGGGATAGAGCTGGGCCACTCTGCCTGAAGATCTGGGGAAGGGACTGACTAGCCCAGGGCTGAGATTGGGTCCAATTCATGCATGTCCAGGGGCCACCAGAGCCCACTCCCCCTAGGGCTTGCTTGGAGGGATCTGGCCTAGATGAGAATAATACACAAGGTTTGAGACAGAGGCACATGAGCAGGCTTGCTTCTTAAGGAAGCAAGAAAAAGGTGGCAAGAAGCTGACGGCAACCCTCAGGAGAGTTCTGGCACCATGGACAGTGACTCACAACTTGAACTCCAGACACAAGGTGAAAAGCCTCGCACCTCTCGCCACCTGGGCCCTTTCAGGCTGAGCAGCACAGCTCATACCCACCCAGAAGCCCACTCTGCTGCTTCCTGGGACCCTCTGGGACTAACTGTGTTATATGGTCTTAGGCGCAGGGTCTGGCACACAGTGAGGATAGGATGTAGAGCTGTGCTGGCACCATCTGCCACCAGCCCTGATCAACTTTTTCATTGGGTGGGCTAGCTGATGTCCTACTCGTAGTCTGAACTCAGTCATGTTGGCATATTTACACCGTAGGAATTGGCTCACATTATATATCAGGCTTCTGGTGTACCCACCCACCCACCCCCCAGGGGAGCAGCTGTTAAATATTTACCAATATTCTGCTGCTTAAATGGAATCCTATGATTGTCTGATGAGGAAACTAAGACAGACCTCATCCCTGTTCTAAGAGCATCCAGTCATTTGGCCTCTCAATAACAAGGTGTCTCACAACTTCCAGGTCACTGTTACCTGTGTACTGCACCACACAGACCTTATCTTACAGGCTAGGAAACAAATGCTGGGCCTTTAGACGAAGAGAGAGACAGCCTTGTGCAGACTCCTTGGGAATCCCATTACCTGAGAATCTGAGTGATCAAAAGTTGGGGCCCCAGCCACAATGCTCAGCCCACCTCAAGAACAGACTGACAAAATTCCAACAGGCTGATCCAGAAGCACAGTGTGACTTCTCTGCTGATGTCACAAGACCGAGCTCTGGATCATGCGTGTAGTCTTACAGTGGACCCAGACAAGCAGCCAGTGGTGGAAAACACAAGTAGCAGGTGCATGGGACTGGTGTAAGGGAAGCTGTGCTGTCTCCAGCAACTTATAACAACTAGATGCACAAAGCATTCTCACAGCAGTGAATTCAATCCAAGCATGATTTCTGAGCCCTTCCTCTCCCTGGTCATAAAGTGATCAGTATTGGGATGGAAGTTCTTGTTGAGAAGATCTAATTCTTAGAATCAATTTCTCTCTTGTGTTCCTCAGAACTGCTCCTGGTCTGTTTGCCTTTACATTGAGCCCAAGTTATCACCTGCTGTGTCCCTCCCCTCTCCCAGCACTTTTGGTGTTTGACAAGGAGGATGGCCCAGACAATGGACTCTTTCCTTCACCCAGATGAGGGAAAAATGAGAGCAAAGAACCCATACCTACTCCAGCCCCCAACTAGGAACAAGGAGGGAATAGCCCATTTGAGTTAATCTTTAACACATGAGCCCATGGATTCACCAATTAGGCAGCTCCAATCTGGAAGCTGTGCCTTATAGTAGAATTAGGCCACACTGGCAGCACAGGCTACCTTGAACCTCATGCAGCTCATGGATCTGGAGAGCTAGAGGGAGGGGTGAGATGTTGTGGCCAGACCCTGGGATGTGGGGCTTGGTAGGTTTCATTCCCATTCATTTCCAACATTAATGGAATGCATCCATCACCTCCCCATACCCCAGAAGAGACAGAGAATGCCTTGGTACCGCACAGCAGTGATGAAGCACTCTACTGTGAGGCTGATGCGCCCTCAACTATGGAGAAGGAGAAGGCAGCCTGGGAGAATTCAGAAACGGATCTGGAGACTGAGGGTGAGAGTGGGCACTGAGAGGGGTGTGGGGAGAGGAGGCCAGGGGAGTCTAGCTCTGCCCACGCAGGCATGCTGCAGAAACACTGAGACAGATTTGAGCTGGCTTTCATGCCACCTCATCATCCTCAAGGTGGGTGAGGGCAAAGGTGCAGGGCTGTGCTGGAGGCCTGTGGCATGAGCAGCACCCTGCATCAGTTTGCTAGAGGCAGAATCAATCCACCCAGAGGAGTTTCTGAGTGTTCTCCCTCTTGTGGTGTCCTGTTTGGTCTTTAGTCCTGGAGGTAAGCATTGCTGTCTCCAGAGGAGGGAACTGGAGCTTAAAGAGACAGTGAGAGTTGCCCATGACCATCATGTTGGCTGGTGTCTTCTCGGATCGCCCTGATGATCTGCCCTCAGTATTCTGTATCCCATAGTCTGGGAGCATCTAACTGACTCATCTTGCAGTGACTTTCCCCATTAACTCTTCCTTTTGTAAGATTTATTTTGTTTGGGCCTAGCGGCTACAGTCCTTGCCTTGAACGCGCCGGGATCCCATATGGGTGCCAGTTCTAATCCTGGCAGCTCCACTTCCCATCCAGCTCCCTGCTTGTAGCCTTGGAGGGCAGTTGAGGATGGCCCAAGGCCTTGGGACCCTGAACCCATGTGGGATACCCGGAGGAGGTTCCTGGATCCTGGCTTCGGATCGGCATAGCATCGGCCGTTGTACTCACTTGGGGAGTGAATCATCAGATGGAAGATCTTTCTCTCTGTCTCTCTTCCTCTCTGTATATCTGACTTTCCAATAAATAAATAAATCTTTAAAAAGATTTTATTTTGCTTATTTGAAAAGGAGGGGGGGGGGGACTCTTCCATCCCCTGGATCACTCCCCAAATGGCTTCAAGCCCAAAGCCCGGACCTGACATGGGTACAGGGAACCAAATACTTGAACCATCATCTATTGCCTTTCCAGGCACATGAACAGGGAGCTGGATCACAAGTGGAACAACCAGGACTCAAAACAGTATCAGAAAGAGATGTTGGCTTCCCAGGCAGTGGCTTCACCAGCAATGCCACAACACTTCTCCCCACCAACCCACCCACCACCATCTCCCACAACCACCTTACAATTCCAAGTTGCGTGGGGTTCAGAGGCCAGGTGAGCTGGAACAGAGACCACCTCCACCCTCTCTTTCCTCCCAGTTTCCCCAAAGAGGTGGCACACCACACAGAAGCTTTGTGAAGCAATGGGAGCATGACATCATCCAACTGGAAGGGAGTAGCCTCAGACTTCCCAAGTTGAGGCTAGCCCAGGCACCTTTCCTCTCCCATGTTCTCACAGCCAGGGAGCGGGGTGGGCTGGGAGTCCAGGGAACAGAGGAGAGGGGAGGTTGTTTGTGGAACCAACCTTGCCACCACAGAGCAAGCTCACAGACCCCTCTTGACTACCAGCATTCAACTGCAGTCTATGGCACTGACCTCCTCCTGCATCCTGTTGGGCTTTTTCCTGTATCAAGGCTGTAACGGATGAATGCTGTTTTCAGTACCTGACCTGACTTGGCTAGAGGAGGTGACAAAGAGCAGCCCTAGGCATTCTGCCTGTGACTTGGGCTCCTGTCTCCTTTTTCCTCTTCCCCCACTCCCAGCTGACACCACCATCACAAGCTGCCTTTAATATGTAATCAGGATGGGCCTTTGATGGGGAAGAGACCCACATTCCATAGCTGAGTTTGAGAGCTTCTTGGAGTCAGCTTCATGGGAGAGCTGGATTGAGTTGGAAGCTCCTTTCCATAATAATAATAATAATAATAATAATAATAATAATAATAATAATTTTCATTTGAAAGAGTTATAGAGAAAGGGAGAGAGAAGGAGAGACTGGCTGAAGCAGTTCCCAGCTTTGGCCTCAGCCCAATGCAGCCCCAGCCCCTGTGTGCATTTAAGGAGTGAAATTGTGGATGAAGATGTTCCCTTTATTATCAATCTTAAAGTTAACAGCAACAACAACAAAAATTAAGTCATCAGCTGTCAATTACCCTCTTGGCCTTCCAGAGCTTCCCGAAAGCAGACAAGGAGACAGGGCCTTCAGCTGTTCCTTAAGGTTTAACACAAGGAGGCTGGTACATTAATAACTGGCTAATTCTCCACCTCCACGCATGGCATCCCATATATATAGGTGCCAGTTCATGTCCACTGGATGCTCCACTTCCCATCCAACTCTCCTTGTGTAGCCTGGGGAAGCAGTGGAGGATGATCCAGGGCCTTGGGACCACACATACCCATTTGGGAGATCTGGAATAGATTCTTGGCTCCTGGCTTCAGATTGGCTTGGTCTAACCCATTGCAAGCATTTGAAGAATGAACTAGTTGATGGAAGCTCTTTCTGTCTCTCCTTTCTGTAAATCTTTCCAATAAAAATAAATACATCTTTAAAAAATATTTCCAATAAAAATAAAAATGTCTTTAAAAAAAAAAAAAGATCCAACGCAGATGGAAGGCAGGCTAAGGGCACCTGCCTGGGGTTAGAGGAAAGATGAGGCAGAAGGTGGGAGACGGTCCTTACTTCCTCCCGACTTTCTCTGCAGATGATGAAAAGCTTTACACCACCGGACAAAGGGAGCTGTATCTGGAGGCCTGCAAGCTGTTGGGCGTGGTGCCTGTCTCCTATTTCCTTCGGAACATGGAAGAACCCTACATGAATCTCAACCACCATGGGCTGGGCCCCAAGGGCACCAAGGCTATTGCCATAGCCCTAGTGGTAAGCAGATGGAGGGTTGGCAGGGTGGCAGGCCTGAGACCCAGGAAGCCCTTCACAGGTGGCCCACATAGCAACCTTCATACTACCTGGGCTCTGCCCAGTTACTGGCTGATGTCCCCAATAGGCAAGGACTGCTCGTGCAAGGGGTGGCCAGAAGCCTGAGCCTTAGAAGTCTGTCCATGACTATTTAGGAAGCAGAAGCACGTGGGCTGGAGCCCCCAGGGAGTGGGTCTGGACTGGGCCCAAGTTCTTTCAGGAGTGTTAGCTAAAACACCAGCCCAGTCTCCATCCCAAAGCCCACCCTCACTATGAGAAAACTGCAAAATTAATGAAAATTAATTTAGACGGCTATACTGGGGTGGTAGTGGAGGAGTTTGAAACCTATGCCTAGTTTTATTGTATTCATTTCCATGAACTTTTTAAAGGTCCTTGTATGCATGGATGTTTATATTTTTGCAAGGAAATAAACTCATCCATAATTCCATCTTCCCATTAGCTTTTTTTTTAAGTACCCCGGCGTAAGTGGATCACAGCTGAATCATTCTGTTCAGCGCCTGCCTTGTGCAACAGGAGACTTTAGAGTTGGTGATGCTTCTGAAGATCTTTCAGATACTGTCATTGTTCATTGCTATAATGTAGTCTTTATTAGAATACCCATCCTTCAAGGCATACGTTTTATGCTATACGGTCAGAGAGTCCAGCCCCCAGTTGGCATGGGACACAGAGTTTTATTTATTTTTTCCTCTTCCCCTTCCATCTAAAATTCTTTTCATTTCTTAGGATGCATTTATTTATTAGAATCAGGGTTACAGAGAGAGAAAAGGAGAGGGAGAGAGATTCCATCCTCAAGTTCTCTGTCCAAATAGTCCTGGACCAGACCAAAGCCAGGAACCAGGAACTCCATCCACGTCTCCCACATGAGCACAGCATTTGGGCCGCCTTCCACCGCTTTCCCAAATCCAGTAGCAGGGAGCTGGATTGGAAGTGGAGCAGCCAGGACTGGAGCAAGCGCCCCTAAGGGATGCCTTAGCATGTATTCATTAGGAGCAGTCTCACTTGGATGTGGATATTTCTTGAAGACTCATGTCCAGGTCCTCCCAAATAGCACTGAGGTAACCCTCTACATTTTAGAAGCAGATTTATGTACTGATTTATTCATTTATTTTAAAGGGAGAGAGAGAGAGAGATCTTCTGTTCACTACTTTACTCCCAGAGAGGATGGTTGGGATTGGGTCAGGCTGAAGCCAGGAGCCAGGACCTCCATTCAGGTCTCCCACATGAGTGCCGTGAGCCTGAGTACCCCAGCTTGCACTGTTTCCCCAGGCACATTAACATGGAGTTAGATTGGAAGTGGAACAGCCGGAACTTTAAAAATGAACACTCTTGGGCCCAGTGTGATAGCCTAGTGGCTAAAGCCCTTGCCTCACATGCACCAGGATCCCATATGGGCACCAGTTCTAATCCCAGTAACCCCACTTCCCATCCAGCTCCCTGCTTGTGGTCTGAGAAAGTAGTCAAGGATAGCCCAAATCTTTAGGACCCTGTACCTGTGTGGGAGACCCGAAAGAAGCTCTGGGCTCCTTGCTTCAGACTGGCTCAGTTCCAGCCATTGCGGCCACTTGGGGAGTGAATCATTGGATGGAAGATCTTCCTCTCTGTCTCTTCTCCTCTCTGTATATCTGACTGTACAATAAAAATACATCTTTTTTTAAAATGGACATTTTATGGGATACCGACATCACAGAGTAGCACTTTAACCCTCCGTGCTGCAAATGCTGGCCCCAGTAGCCTCCTATTAAAAGAGAATACTGGGTAAGACACAGGCCAATTCTGAACAATGGGCCTCTGCTAAAAGTGAGGCGATACTGTAGCAGGCCCCTTGCTTAATCACCCTGGAAACCAAGCTATCAACAGGTGCACTCCTGGGTGGGAGGCACAGACTACACCCAAATCACGGCACCCTCTCACATGGCTCTTATGTGTAACCGGGTGGGTAAGCTCTAGCCTCAGGTGGGCAGGAACTGACCGGCTCACCAACCACGTGTTTCTTTCTCTCCCTCCAATTGTGGTGGCTGCAGTCCAACACGAGCATTATCAAGCTGGAACTGGAAGATAACTGCATCATGGGGGAGGGCATCTTGAGCCTGGTGGAGATGCTACATGAAAATTACTACCTGCAGGAGTTGGTACTGTGCCCTGCTCCCTGGCTCCTCCTACCACCATGGTCGGGGAGGGGAGGGTGGCTCTCAGAACCTGACCCAATGAGCCAGGTTCCCCTATAACATCCTTTTAAAGAGAGGAAGAAAGCCAAGTCAGATAATAACAGCTGGTTTATAGAAGGTCTCTCCCACTTAGCCTGAAAAGATGTTTTCCCTGTGCAGCCCTAATTCTTTTTAGTGTAGTAATGTATACTTAGCAAATCGAAGAATGGAATTGCTACTGCTAACATACTCTTTTAGTTGTTTCCCCACCAGGCTCTCCAGATGAAGTTGTAGACTTCAAACAAACCAATGGGCCCAGTGGTTAAGACATAGCAACACCTTACAGACTGCCTAGGATCAGGTCCTAGCGCCTCCCTCGAGCCCAGCTTCCTGCTAATGTGCACCTTGCCGGGCCTCGCAAGGAGCAGCCTTGCCAGGCTGCTTCAAGGAGCTGGGTTCCAGCTGCCCCTAGCAATGCCCTGGATTGAGTTCCCAGCTCCCAGCTTTGGCCCCAGCCTGGCTCTGAGTTATTGTGGGCTTTCTGGGAATCTATCAGTGGGTAGGAGATCCCACTCTCTGTTTCTCTTTCTCCCAACTTTACATATCTCAAATATTTTAAAATATGATTATCCAAAGCACTAGGGACTGGGGAAGTAGGGAGTCGTAGAAGCCAACTTCTTGGAAAACTGAACCCAGTCCTATCTAGGTCTGCTCTGTGAGTGGGTAAAGCCACTGCTTAGGAAACTGGCAGTCCATATGCACACCAGTCCCAGCTACTCCACTTCCAATCCAGCTCCCTCTGCTGGTGCTGCTGGGAAAGCAGCAGAGGAGGGCCCAAGAGTTTGGTCCCTCGCACCTGCGTGGGAGACCTGGAAGAAATTTCTGTATCCTGGCTTGGCCCGGACCTAGACGTGAACCAGCAGATGGAAGATTCTGTCTGTCTGTCTCTCTCTGCCTTTCAAACAAATAAATCTTTAAAAATAGAAAGTTCCCTGTCTAGAACCAGATTTCCACTTTTCCCCTGATTCTTCTAACCCCTTCACCCTGCTCAACCCCCATCTTCACTATCTTCATGACTCAATAAATAGCCCCACCCCCCACCACGTCTTTCATTAATAAACATCCTCTGGCAGAATCTTCATAGACACACGTGTATTCTTGCCTTTCAGAATGTTTCCGACAATGATCTTGGCTTAGAGGGGGCCAAGATCATCTCAGACTTCCTCCAGAAAAACATTTCCTCGCTCTGGAAACTTAAGCTTTCAGGTGAGCCCATGGAGGGGGCAGCAGAGGACACCAGGCCTCAGGTGAACCTGTGGAGGGGACAGCAGAGGACACTGGGCATCTGGGGCATGAACAAGGGGCAGGCTTTGACCATTGAAACCCGCCTGGGGGAACCCACATCCCCTGGCAAGGTTCCAGTCAAGGCTACTCTGCTGCCAATCCACTCCCTGTCAATGTGCACCCTGAGAGGATAGCAGGTGATGTGGCCTTGCGTCCTGGGATCCCTGCTACCCACCCTGAGCCCCAGAGATTGTGGGCCTTTAGGGAACACACTAGTTTCTGGAAAATCTGTGTGTCTCTACCTCTCACATAAAAACAGGAATAGTGTTCAAAAGGGCAGGAAGAAGGGAAAGAACAGACTGAGTGTGGAGTCTCACTGCACCACATGGTACCTGCTGGTCTCAGAGACCTGTCTGTGTGTTTGCCGGATTAACCCTGGTGCTGGTTTTCCTTCTCCCTCTACCTGGCCATGCTGGCTTCCTAAGCCAGTCAAGTCTGATCTGCTTGGTGACACTCCTCTCTAACCTGCTAGTCCCTGTCCCCTGGTATCTGCAGGGCTTCTGTAACCCATGGTGCACTGTCATCCATGTTGCTCAAACATCATCCCCTGAAGGATCTCCCTGGCATCCCTACTGCAGTACCAGCTCCACTCCTCTACTCCTCCACTGTCTGTTCCCCCACTTGGCCTTACTTAAAGACATTTACTAACTTATTGCTAAAATAATAACTACTGTATACTGCTTTAAATTTTTTTTTTATACAGAGAGACAACATGAGAGAGACCTCCCCTCTGCTGATTCACTCCCCAGATGACTTCAATGGCCAGGGCTGGGCCAGAATAAAGCCAGGATATCCAGGGCTCCTACATGGGTGCAGGGCCCCCAAGTACCCAGCCTGTCTTCTTCTGCTTTCCCCGGGTGCATTAGCAGGAAGCTGGACCAGAAGTGGAGCAGCCAGGATTCAAACTGGTGCTCCTAGGGATTGCTGATGTCACATGAGGTGGCTTAAATCTAGGTGCTCCAATGTGGCATGTGAGTAACCTAGATGGCAACTAACTGTAACGCCAAAGGCTCACCCTGGCTTAGATTTCTTATAATGTTAATACTTTGAACACTTGGCTGGGGCTGGGGCTGCCATTGGAGGCACAGGGAATGGTCCTCTGCCTACTGAAACGTCTCAGGCAGTCATGGCCGAGCTGGAAGGGAGCATGAAAGGAAATTTTCAGGATGTGCCTCCTCTACTGTTTTGGTTTTTAAGATTCATTTATTTTTATTGGAAACGCAGATTTACAAAGAAAAAGAGACACAAAAAGATTTTCCATCTGCTAGTTCACTCCTCAAATGGTCACAATGGCTGGAATTGAACCAATCTGAAGCCAGGAATCAAGATTCTTCCAGGTCTCCCACATGGGTGCAAGGTCCCAAGGACTTAGGTCATCCTCCACTGCTTTTCCAGGTCACAAGCAGAGAGCTGGATGGGAAGTAGAACAGCTGGGACATGAACCAGCACCCATATGAGATGTCAGCACCCGAAGGTGGAGAATTAGCCAGTTGAGCCATCATGCTGGCCCCTCATCTACTGTCTTCACATAAAGTTGTCACCATCTTTTCTATGCCTGATGGTTCTAAAGAGAAGAAAACTGGCAGAACTAGGACACAGGGTGGGTGAGGGGAACCATGCACCTGCTAACACATCATCCTCACTACAGGAAACAACTTCAAAGAGGAGTCTGCAGCACTGTTGAGCCAAGCCCTGTCGGTAAGGAGCAAGGAGTCTGGGCAAATTGTGCGGGACTGTACTTGGGTGCCCTTCTGGGAGCTGAGAAAAACACCTGCTGTGAGCAAAAGAAGTGAGGTCATTTGTGTGATGCAGGGAGCAGCAGAGTATTTGGCGTCTGCCAACTCCCCAGCCAAAAGCTGCAGCAAGTGACAGGGCTGGAAGGACAGCGCTACACCCTCCATCACCAGTCATCTGCAGATAACGAACCAGCAAATCATCTTGGGGTCTAGAAATCTGGGGTATCCCTCCAAAACACTGCTCAGAGAGATGTATTTGCAATTGGAAGCTAAAGTGGCCTCTCTCTCCACCATTTGTTTCTCTAGTCCAATTACCAAATTAAGAAGATGAATCTCAGCCACAACCAGCTTTCTGACACAGGAGGGGAACAGCTGGGCCAGATGCTGGGTATGTCCCCAGGGAAGGGAGGGAGCAGCCAGCAGGGAGGACAGTGGGGAATCTCACCTCTCCAAGCTGAGTTTCTTTTAACATCATTATTATCAAATGTTTCTATTACAACAGAGATGGAAACCATGCCCCAAATACATTTTAATTTTATTTATTTTTATTGGAAAGGCAGACAGATAGACAGATCTTCTATCTGCTGGTTCACTGCCTCCAACAGCCAGGGCTGGACCAGGCCAAAGCCTGGAACTCAGAACTCCAGCTGGGTCTCCCACATAGGTAGAGGCCAAACAACCATCCCTATTAATGTTTTATATTAAACAATTACCGAAAACATGTACTCCCTGTCTGCTGCTTATCTTTTTAGGTTGTCTTCCCAGGGTGTTTTCATAATTGCCTACATGTGTTAAATGTACTGTTGTTAAACATATGATTTGCTGGTGTGTCTTTTTGCCCACTGTGCCCTAGGCTACTATTCTTAGCCTCCCTGAGGCTGGTCAAGTTTTAAGATGGGTTTAATGCAAAGTGTATTTCCTGTGTCACTGTGTCTGTTTCATTTAAAAGGTGTTTGGGCCTCTGGGACCCTTCACCCATGTGGGAGACCCAGAAGAGGTTCCTGGATCCTGGCTTCGGATCGGCATAGCACCAGCCATTGCGGTCACTTGGGGAGTGAATCATTGGACGGAAGATCTTCCTCTCTGTCTCTCCTCCTCTCTGTGTGTCTGACTTTCCAATAAATAAATAAATCTTTAAAAATAAATAAATAAATAAAAGGTGTTTGGGGAAGCAGGTAGTTGGTGCAACAGCTAAGGTGCTGCTTAGGATGGCCACACCTGGTGTGGGAGTGCCTGGGATGAGTCTTGGCTCCACTTCCTGCTGCATCTCCCTGCTAACTATTCCGTGGGCAGCAGATGATGGCTCAAGGGTTTGGGAACGCCCCCCACCTCACACTCACCACACCACACCACATCTCTTGGAGTTCCATGCTCCCAGCCACAGCCCTTGCAGCCAGGAATGGAAGACAGTAGATAGAAGCTAGCACTCGCTCTCTCTATCTCTCTCCCTTTCAAATAAATAAATAAATGATTTTTAAAAATTAGTGTTGAGAAAATTGGCAAAAGATGCTACAGATCAAACAACACTAAATGCCCTCACCCAACAGAACACCAGTCAAGTCATATGGATCAACAGGGGAAAAAAAAAAGTGCCCCAACTCTTTAGGAATGACAGCGATGTGAACTCTTAACGGGAAGAGCAGCCCTGCTGTCTGCCCAAACCACTAAAGTTTCAAGTCAGTAAGTGTGAAATGCCGGGGTCAAGAAGGAGAAGTAGGACTCCCCACCAGCCGCTGAGTCAAGGCGCCTTGGAAGGCAGTGGGATGGTGTCTGATGGCGTGCAGCCCATGCATGTTCCAGGATGCACAAGTACCCCCTCTGTCTCAGAGCCACGCCCTCTGCCCACACAGATGTCTGCCGGGAGGGGGTGAGGAGCGTCATGTATTGCAGCATTGTTAAAAGAGTGAACAGAAGTAGCAACACCTTGAGTGACTATCCCTGGCCAAGGAGTAGAAAAAGGAAGTGGGGGTAGATGGGTGCCAACACAGAGAGGGTTGTGACAATAAGCCTCAGAGGGGACAGAAACCCATCCTGCTATCCTCAGAGGCAGGTGGACATCAGGCTCCTGGGCCTCGGCTTGGATGAAGCTGGCTTTTCCTTACCTGCAAGGGAGTCATTGAAGAGTAGCTGCACTCACGCTTGTCACACCTTTGTGCCATCTGTCCCAACTACATGACCTCCTGCATTTGGGGAAACAGGTTTAGAACTGCTGTGTCCACTGACAACAAGAATGGAAGAAGGGAGAGCAGCTAGGAGAATGCTGTGAGGGTCTCAGCTCACAGAGTGAGACAATGACCAACATTAGTGGGCAGATGTGGAATATATTTTGGGGTGAAGCCAAGAGGACTGGTGTGTGATGTGTGAAGAATGGGGAGGGACAGAGGTAGAGTCCCAGACACTTTGTTTTAACTCCTGGCTGGGCCATTGGTGTCATTTCAACAGAGAAATACCAGAGAACAAACATCAGGAGTCAGGGTGCCCTGCTGACCACACTGTGTGTGATGGGCCGCAGAGTACCAACACCTCTGTGAAGGTATCCAGCAGGTGGAATACTGGAGAAACTTGGAACTTGCTGAAGCGGTCAGGACAGGAGACACACTGGAAGTCAGGGAGGACACAGACATATTTAAAGCCATGAGACAAGATGAGGTCAGTTGTCTAGACAGAGTTGAGGACCCTGAGAGAATGCCAGTGTTTTTAGATTGTGCAGGGCAGAGGGAGGCAGCCTCTTAGGAAGGAAACCAGGAAAAGTGAGGTCGCCTGCCAGGATGCAGGTGAAGGGAGAAGGCCAAAGAAGAGGAGGTGGTGGTCAGTTATGTGCAACACTGCTTAGAGGTCAGATGAGGTCGAAGAGCTTAGAAGTCAAATGAGACAAGGAGAAGGGTAGAGATGGTCAGTGTGTCAGCTCCAGCTGTTGTGGATCTTTCTCACTCATTCTCCACAAACACACACGTGTGTGCGTGCACGCACACACACACACACACACACACACTCCCTTGGTTCAAATAAATATATATTTTGTAAGTTAAATAAATAAATAAAACACATGTTTCATGGCCCTGAAGCCTACAGGTGCTTCCTGTCCTTTGGTAATGGTTAAGAGGTTTACACCTCTCCCTACAGGGTGTCCCCACTATAACTGTCTTCCCCAAGAAGAACATGTTGGAATAGGGAAACACAGGGGCACAGACATCCTTGAGTTTAAAAACACAGAGGATTCTGGTGTAAACCCGACTTCTCCACCAGCCTGAGGCCTCCCCACCTTCCCCAAGAGGGCATTTCTGGAGGGTTCACAGCTGCTGCAGCTGCCCATGTCAGTGACTTCCCAAGCTCTGTCAGGCACCCCCTGCGCAAACTTAACCCTGAGGGGTTCTTCTCCACCCTGTCTCTACATCCCTCTTTTAAAAATCTTTTTTATTTATTGAATTTTTTTTATTTTGTTGAAGAGTAGAGAGACAGAGATAGACAGACAGCAAGCTTCTAACCATTGACTCCCTTCTGCAAATGCCCAAGACAGCCAAGCCTGAGCCAGCCCAAAGCTAGGAGCTTGGGACTCCATCTGGCTCTCCCTCATGGATGGAAGATGAGCCAACACCTGCTGCCTCCTGGGATGTGCATCTGCATGAAGTTGGCATCCGAGTGGAGTCAGCACTTGAATCTGGGTATTTATGTGGGACATAGGCATCCCGGTGGCATTTAAAAAAATTATTTACTTGTATTGGAAAGCCAGATTTACAGAGAGAAAGAAAGAGAGAAAGATCTTCCATCTGCTGGTTCACTCTCCAAATGGCCACAACAGCCAGAGCTGAGCAGATCCAAAGTTGGGAACCATGAACCTCCTCCAAGTCTCACCTGCAAGTGCAAGGTCCCAAGGCTTCGGGCCGTCCTCTGCTTCTTTCCCAGGACACAAGCAGGGAGCTGGATGGGAAGTGAAGCAGCTAAGACATGAAACAGCATCTATATGGGATCCCAGTACATGCAAGGCCAGGATTTAGCCACTGAGCTATCATGCCAGACCCCCAGGTGGCAATTAAACAATGGCTCCAAACACCTGCCCCAATTTCCATCTACTTCAATAGCTGAAGACACTCCCAGGAGGTGGATGGTTAAAGCGTGCCTTGTTGTTCCCCAGGAAGTCACAGATCTGATCTTTACATGTGATGCCGTGTAGACACATAAAAGCAACAGGCCTTCCTGGGCCCTATTCTGTCTTCCCAGTGTCTTGGCATGAGGTAGGGTCTACACAGGTTAGTGAGAACATCTTTGCAATTGCATCACGTTCCCTAAGTATATTGTACAAACCCACTTGCCCCTGCACTGTGGACAACAACCACCCTCTAACACCTTGCCTGAATGGGGTATCAGTGTACAATAATGAGGTTAGAGGAGGTCAAAATCTTCCCTGAGTGGTCTCACAGCTCGATGGTGTCTGCTGACACTAGGGCTGTGTTCTTCGGGAGGCAGGGAGCATGAAGCTGACTTGTTCCCTTTCCCAGCCATCAATGTGGGGCTGCAGACACTGAATCTGAGCTGGAATCACTTCCACATCCGGGGAGCTGTGGCCCTGTGCAACGGTCTCCGGGTAAGCTACTCTCTGGGCACAAGGTATTGAGTATGGGTGGGGCGGGCCAGAGCTTTTGGGGCTATCATCTTGGATTCTTCCTGGTGGTCACCCCTAATACAGAGGAGAGCATCATCATGCTTTTCCATAGCAAACCCACCTGTGGGGTCCTGGGTGGTGTCTGTGGGGACCTGCCAAGAGGGCAGCTCACCAAGCTGGTAGGGCAGGACCAGAGGGCATAGGGATGCATCTCCAGAGATTTTACAACTCTGAGCCCATCCTGGGGAATTCAAGGGGAGGGCTCTGGCAGATCTTACTATCTCCCTGGGGCCCAATCTGGATGCTAACAGGATCTAAAAACCGGGACCCACGTGGCCCAGCCCTGACCCTGGTGCTGTTCTCCCCTCTCCCCGGAGATGAACGTGACCCTGAAGAAGCTGGATCTCTCCATGAATGGCTTCGGGAACGAAGGGGCCACAGCCCTGAGTGAGGTGCTAAGGCTCAGCAGCTGCCTGGTCTACCTGGACATCAGCGGCAATGACATTGGCAATGAAGGGGCCTCCAAACTCAGCCGGGCCCTGGAGTACAATGAAAGTCTCCGTGTGCTGAAGGTGGTCCTTCCCGGAGCGGCAGAGCAGTAGCATGTGTGTGCTCATGTGTGTGCATGTGTGCGGATTGTGTGTGTCGCATGTGTGTGCTTGTATGTGTGTGTGTGTGTACATCTGTTTATCTTTCTGAGGGAGAATGGGACTACAGACTGGACCCCAGATGGGTCAACTGATGCCTAAGAGAGCTGAAACCCCAACTACGACAGGTGGAGCGGGACTGAGCCTGACCCTGGGAGAAGAAGCTGACCCCAGCTGGCAGGCTTCAGCCACGGAGGCTGCTAGGCCAGGCACAGCTCTGAAAACCTGGCTCCTGGCTTTGGATCAGCTCAGCTCCAGCCATGGCAGCCACTTAGGAAGTAAACCAGCAGACAGATCTTTCTGTATCTCATTCTCTCTAAATCTGACTTTCGAATAAAAAATAAATCTTATAAAAAAAATAGGAGGAAATAGGAACAGACATATGGACAAATGCATGTTTGGATGGATGGACAGTGGGATGAGCAGTGAGACGGACAAATGAGTAGGGAGATTGGGAGATGGATGGAAAGATAGATGATCAAACGGATGGATGCAAGAACAGTGAAGGGAACAGGTGGCTGGGTGGATTAGCAGATTGATAGAAGTGTATTAAAATGGAAAAGGGGCAGAGGTGGGTGAATGCATGGTAAATGAATGAGTGGATGACAGAAGAGTAGGCAGTGAGGTGAGCAAGTTAAGGGGAGGGTGCAGGGATGAATGAATGGATGGAAGTAGAGTAAGCAGGACAAATTGGCAGATATCTGGATGAACAGATGACTGGATGGTGGAGGGACAGACAGGTGGGTGGATAGATGGGCAAGCAGATGGATAAACAGGTACTTCTGGAGAAGTCTGGGAGGAAGACAAAGGCGTAGTTGATGGGAAGCTGAGGCTGTGCTCTGGACCAGCCTCTCCTGCCCCCAGCTCAGCATCCCTCTATCTCACCCCTGCTTCCACAGCTTTTCCTGAACCCTATAAGCATGGATGGGGCTGTCCTGCTTATCATGTCCATCAAGAAGAATCCCAAGTCCAGGCTGGAAGAGCTTGACATTTCTGTGAGTGACCAGATGAGGGTTGGTTGCACAAGGGTGTAGCAGTTTCCACACCCACTCAAGGTCACCAGGGCCACCGGCATGTTTCTCACGGGCCCACACACATGTGCACTCCTTTGGGTACAGCTCTATCCTGCTTTCAGCAGGAGGAGTCATTCTGTCACAAAATGATTTACCAGATCCTGAGCACCCAAGCCAAAACCAGAAGCCTGGAATTCCATACAAGTCTCCCACATGGGTGGCTGGGCTTTTAACACTTGGGTCTCATTACTGCCTTCCTGCATGCATTAGCATGAAGCTGGGTCCAAAGCAGAGTAGCTGACACTCGACCTGGCACTGCAGGTATGGCCTATGGACATCCCAAGTGGCAGCTTAACCCCCTGTGCCACAACACCCAGCCACCCCCGCCTCCCCCTGCACATGAGCTTTAGGATGGGGGCATGAAGACATAGTCAAATTAGTGTTTTTGTTCCATGCCTTGGCACTGACCTCAGGCAGGGGCTGAGGGCCCTGTCAAATCCTCTCGCCCCACCTAGCTCAGGTTCCATGCCCTGCTCTGGGGTGTCCACGCCCTGCTCGCTTTTTCTGCTAGAGGCTGGTGCACATGCCAGCTCCCCACGTACCACTCCAGGAGAGAAGCAAAGTCTGGTGTTAACCTCCTCCCACTCGCAGGCAAGCGTCCACTCCGCTTCTAGTCGTGGCGTGCTGCATCTCGCTGACCCTCCCTTGAGAACAGAGCTGAGCTGGCAGCCTGCGACAAGCTGGCACCCTCTTGAAAGCATATGAGACGGAAGGGCACTTGGCCCAACGGTTAAGACGCCTACATGCCAGAGTCAGAGTGCACGGGTTTGAGTCCTTGCTCCAGCTCCGACCTCAGCTTGCTGCTCCTGTGCACCCGGGCAGGCAGCAGGTGATGGCTCAGAGTCGGGTCCCTGCTGCCAAGGTGGGAGACCCAGATTGAGTTCCTGTCTTCAGCAGAGGCTCCTCTGCAGGCTATCACAGGCATCCAGGGAGTGAGTCGTCTTTCCGCCTATCAAATGAAGAATAAATACTTTTTAAAGTCATGGAGGAAATGTCCAAATCTAAATACAGACTCTGGAACCTCGATACTGTCCAGTCCTGGAGCTTTGAAGAACCTACTGAACAGTCAGATATACAGAGAGGAGGAGAGACAGCGAGCAAGGTCTTCCAGCCATTGATTCATTCCCCAAACAGCTGAGATGGCCAGAGCCTCTTCCCAGTCTCCCACAGGGGTTCAGGGTCCCAAGGCTTTGGGCCACAAGCAGGGAACTGTATAGGGAGCAGGACTGCTGGGATTAGAACTGGTGCCCATATGGGATTCCAGCTCATGCAAGGCAAGGACTTTAGCCACTAGGCTATCTTGCCAGGCCCCCCCCCCTTCTTCTTCTTTTTTTTTGAGAAGAGACCCCCTAGTTCTATTGATTAAAAGCCCATCCACAGTGTTACCATGGAGACTGCAGCACTCTGCGATGTGATTGTCCAGTCAGGACTTTGCCTGGAAATGCCTCATAAAGGAAATCTACTAGAAGACATCATGGTGCTGAGGCAGGGACCTCCAATGGGGGCCAAGAGACGGCACTGTGGCAGTGTCCTTGCCGTGATGGGTTGCCCTCTCTCTGCACAGAACGTGCTGGTGACCGAGCAGTTCACAAAAATGTTGGAAGGGGTGTACGCTGTGCACCCCCAGCTGGATGTGTTGTACAAGGCAGTGCAAGGCCTGGCTGAGAAGAAAGCCCTCTTCCTGTGTAAAAACCCCATGAAGCTGATCCAGGTGAGCCCCCACTTCCCTGGGAAAGCACCCCTTTGGCTGCTAGTCAGCCATGCAGGGCTTCTCCTAAAGGATGGACTCCAGCCAGAAATGCTTCAGGCCCAGGGCTGTAGACAGGCAGGTCCCCACAAGGCTTACCTGGCCTGACAGCTTTGGAGACTAGGAGGAGAAGGGAAACAAAAGGACCAAAAAAACTGAAACATGCTTAAGATGCAGTCAGAATGTCTCAGTGCAATGCATATTCTAAACCAGAAGGTGAAGACAAGACAATAGATGATTGCACATCTGATAACAAACTAGATTTAGAGGTTATTTCTCACTTTTTTCTTTCTCGCTACATAAAATTACAATGCCAAAAGGTATTTTTGAAATGAAGCAGTAGATATCTTGACCGAGTACATCTCCCCTTGAGCATTTGTGTGGGACTGAGAAGCCTAGAATTCCTTAATGCCTACGCATGCCACCCACCACCACCCAACGATGATCTGCCCTCCCACCGGGCCACCACCCACAAGGCAACCAACCAGTCAGCCTTCACAGCGCTGGCTTCTCGGTCAGCACCCCTTGGTGCTGTGCACCTCAGCTGCACTAATTCCCTCTTTCCAGTCTTTGGAACAGGTGAAGCCTCTGCCCCTGGGGGTGAGGTCTCTGCTCATGGGATTGGAGCCCCTGTCCTTAGGGAGTAGAGCCTCTACTCATGGGGGTGGAGCCTCTACTCATGGGGGTGAAGCCTCTGCTCACAGGGGTGGAGCCTCTGCTCACGGGGGTGGAGCCTCTGCTCACAGGGGTGGAGCTGCTACATATGAAGATGAGGCTAATGAGACCAGGGCAAAGGCAGCAGCGCTGGGAAGGTGCAACCTCACCACACCTCACCCTACACAGGGCTCTTGGTCCTGAACAGCTGCTAACAGGTGCTAACATGGGAGACGCCATTCCTGGGGTTCACCTCTAACCTGTCCCCTGAGCTGCCCTGAGTCTGGTAACCTTGGCCTCTTTCTTGCGGGGAGGAAAGAGCTGTGACACTCGTGTCTCCGGCTTCTCTCAGAACTACGCAGACACCAACAACATCACCATGCTAGATTTCTTCAAGAGCCTCAATCCCACTGGAGCCATGCAGATGACCGTGGGCGACTTCCGGAAAGCTCTGCTACAGGTGTGCTGGATTGCGGGGTGTGGAATGTGAGTGGGTGTCCCAGGGAGGACTGGGCCGCGAGCTCTGCTAACTGCACCTGTTCCATCCACCTACTCAGCAAAACAAGGTGCCGTTGAATCACTGCCAGATCAGGGACCTGGTGAAGAGGCTGCAGCAGAAGGCGGGCATGGTGAACTTCAGGTCAGTCCATGCTAGACCCCATTCTCCCCGGGGGCCACCCTGGTCCAGTGTATTACTGGCCAGGGCCTCCCTTACCATGCAGCAACTGTGTGCCCACTGTACCCAGTCCTTGCCATCTACGGATGCCTTGCTAAGCTCAACCTGAGCCTCCACTGCATGCTTCGCTGCATGTGGGGGCCACCGCTGCAAACAGCTGGAGTCCAGGGGTCACAGTAGAATGGGAAGGGACTTAAAAGGGCAAAGCATTGGGCCCTGGAGGGACCAGGGGAGGAATGGGAGGAGGTGCAAGCCCAAAGAAAATGAACAACCCAGGCGGGAGGTGGCATTGTTTCCCTCGAGTCTGGCAGGGGGCGGAGGAGAGAAAGGAGGACGTGTGGACACGCAACAGGGGCTTAGGGTGTCAGACAAGTGTGCTGTGGGCTGAATTCTTTGGAGAGATAGGAGAATGCTACAGCAGCCAAGGACTCCCCCGCCAAGAGCTCCTCCCAGAGACTGCGCGCTCCATCATGCCCCACGCAAGCAGTGCAGTCCCTAAGACCCACAGCGCCCAGCAGCCACGGCACCATTGTCCCCCTGTTTCCGCTTTATAAGCGATGATCCAGCCCAGCCTTTGGGGCGGCAGAAGTTGCCGGACCACCGCACCACACCTCCGCACCCAGGTGTCCATGCCAAGCACATACTTGTCCCCCTAGGTTCCCTGTGACTCGGTGCACTAGAAGGCCCCACACCTGGGGCTATTCTAGAGCCCCAAGCCACCGGTGGCCTCTGTCCACTGATAGCTGTGTTCTTTTGCCCCTCCCCATTGTCCTCGCTGCCTCCCCAAACACCTTTCATGAAGAACAACAGGTGCGCATTCCCACCACCTGGAGAGTCCTGGCTGTGGACCAAGGAGAGCGGAGGTGCCCTGACCCCGAGGCCACGCCCCCTGGAGCTGCTCCAGGGCCACGCCCAGCGCCAGGCCACGCCTCTCCCAGGCCACACCCAGCCCCGCCCTAGGACAACACCCATTCCCCAGGCCACGCCTCCACGCTGCCCCAGGCCACGCCAGGCCCAGGCCACGCCCCTAGGAGCTGCTCCGGGGCCCCGCCCAGCCCCAGGCCACGCCTCTCCCCAGGCCACACACCCCCCACGTCCCAGACCACGCCCCATCCCGGGCCACGCCCCCACCGTGCTCAGGTTCCTTGGCACATAGTAGGTGGGCTCACACTACATAGGGTTTTAGTACATATTTTACAGATACACACAAACACACACGGTTTCTTATACACAAGATCTACTGCCACTGTCCTCTGAACCTGCTTTGCTTAACACCGCCTCTTGTTTTACCAAGTTGCCCCACTGAGATCCATCTCCATCTTAACTGCTGCGTACGTAATATTTCACAGTGTAGCAATCTTACACTTTAAGCTCATTTTACACTTTAATCTCACTTAAGATCTGTCTGATTTTTCTTTCCCAACTTGGGGGTTTTATGAGACACACAAGGAAACAGTTCCCATTCTGCTGTGGTCTCTGGCTGAAATGCAAGCTGGTCTCCCACGCAGGTGGCAGGGACCCAAACCTTTAAACCTTCACCACTGCCTCCCAGAGCCCATTAACAGGAAGCTGAGGTCAGCAGTCGAGTCAGATGGCCAGCTCACACACTTCCATATGGGAGTGGACATCTGAACATGTCAGCCACAAGACCAATGCCTGCCCGTAGGGCCAGTGTTCTATGAGTTCAGGTAACCCAGTCACCAGCACCCTTGCCTGGCAAGCGTGGCACACACGTGTCTACAGTAGGCTGGGCAGAAGTGAAGGGCATCTTCAGTGTGCCCAACCCTTACCAGGCACACCGGCTGGGGCAGGAGGTGGACTCGGCTGGTTGACTGTTCAGGGTGAGCGGTGGGCTGTCTCAGCAGCTCTCCTGGCAGCCCGGCAGCCCGGCAGCCCAGAGCCCACCCAGACACTCAGCATCACTCCTTACCTTTTAAACCAGTTTCTTCAAGTGACGGAAACCATAGCCACAAGCCTGGGCTGCAGAGAGAAGTCTCGCGGTGCCGGAGCGACATGGGGATCTGGAAGAGACAAACAGGTGTGCGGGCCAGCGAGGTGGACTCGAGCCAAGGCCCCAGGCTCAGCAGGTGTCAATAAAGTCTGGCTGGGATCTGGGAGCCTCTGAGCTGCCGGTGCTGCGTCCTGGATCTCGTGACCGCCAGGGGCCACCTTCTGGGTGGCTGCCCCTTGAACAGCAGGCGGCGGACAAGTGCTCATGGCTGGCACTTGGGTGTTGTGGCTAAGGGGAGGTTTCCTTGAACCTGGGCCACCTCGGAGGAGGGACAGAAGGAGGAGCCTTACTCACAAGAAAGCCAGTTCAGAGACCTGGGGCTGCCTGGCCCCGTGCCCTCTGGGCCTGTGTGACTCAGCTGAGGAACAAAGGCTGGGAGAAGGCTTTGCAGTCCCTTCTAAGGCTCTCCTTTAAACTTCCTCGGGAAGCTAAGGAGACAGGCACAGGTGGATGGAGCAGGCGGGCACAACCCAGCTGTGTCTCCCCGCCACACCCCATGGACCAAGGAGGCCAGCACCTGTCCTCTGCACCTGGCACCTGGCACACAACAGGTGTTCCATGCAACCTGTGGTCCGGACCAAGGCCTTCACCTGGCGCTTACTGCGGGCTGGTGATGGAGGGCCAGGTGCACTGTGGGGCTGAGTGAGGCCATACGCAGGCGCCCAGGCTCTGGAGGGTCCAGAATCCCCTGGGCCTCACGGAGGTGTGTGGGGATTCCCTTCTGCGCATGCGGCAGAAATGATGGCGCACCTTCTCCCTGGTGAACCTCATTTTCCTCTCTTCCTTGGCCTCGGCGGGACAGAGGGCCAGCAAGACTCGTCCCTCCCACAGCCTAAGCGCTCTTGGGGCAGGAAGGAGGGCGCAGTGGGGAGGCTGGAGCCGCTGGGCACCCCTGGGTAGGAGCTTCCTGAGCCGGGTCTCCAGCCTCACCATGGCCTCCCAGTCCGCATTCCCAGCCGAGTCCTGCACATGCCAGCTCTGCAGAGCAGCAGCTCCCAAATGGGCCCAGGCCCCTGAGGTGCACGGACCACCAGCCCAACAGGTAAGCAGCGAGCAGTTCCAATGAGCGCAGGCCTGTGAAGTTAGGGCCGCCAGAGAACGCAGATGGCCCCGGCCCACACCGCAGGGCGCTCGGAGAGGCAGCGCCTTCCCCCTGAAGGAAGCAGAGGCCGTTACAGAGGTCACACCTCCTGACAGCTTGGAGTGGCAGGCCTTGAAGCTGCTCCACTTTCGATCCAGCTCCCCGTTCATGGCCTGGGAAAGCAGCAGCAGATGACCCAAACACTTGCATCCCTGCCACCCACATTGCAGACCCAGAAGAAGCCGCTGGCTCCTGGCTACCACTGATCCAGCCCTCATTGCTGTGGCCATCTGGGAACAGACGCTGTCTCAGTGTGTCTCTGCCTTTCAAATAAATAAATCTTGGGGGGCGTGGGGGGAGTCCCGGGGCTGGCTGGCTCAGTGGTCCAACAGGCTAATTCTCCAACTGCCACGCTGGGATCCTATATGGGTGCCAGTTCATGTCCCAACTGCTCCACTTCCCATCCAGCTCCCTGCTTGTGGCCCAAAGCCCTGAGACCCTGTACTTGCGTAGGAGAACAGGAAGGAGCTCCTGGCTCCTGGCTTCAGATCAGCGCAGCTCTGGCTGTTGTGGTCATCTAGGGAGTGAACCAGCAGATGGAAGATTTTCTATTTCTGTCTCTTCCATTCTCTGTTTAACTGACTTTCAATTAAAACGAGTAAACCTTCACATGTAACCCACGTTTTTCCCCACGTTCCCTACCTGTGACTCCACGTTCAGCCAGTGTTGGTATCGGGGTAACCCCGAGGATAACTCTGTGGGGGCCGACAGCAGGAAATTGCAATAGACAAATCACAATGTTACCAGGATAACAGGTCAGTGAAAACAACATTTTCTTCCAAAATACTTTTGTTCCTCTTTTGCATAAAATTGAAAAAGCAGCAGTTGTTCACACCAAATCTCGTTTTTCGTTGGGAGGAAGGTGGAGACTTTGAGAAAGCGAAAATCTGCCCATCACGGCACCGGCCGCCCTCATCTAACAAAGGTGGCCAAGCCCCAGCCGTGACGTAATTCCCCACCGTGGCCACTAGGTGTCAGGCCAGCTTCAAGAGTCCTAGGGAGGGCAGGGCCGGGACTGCAGCCGGCCAAGCTTGGAAACTTCGCCAAGCACTTTCAGGTTCAACGTTGGAGCCCCCCCGCACCCCAGCAGAGCTTTCCACAACTCCAGGTCTCGTTGTGAGTCAAGGTGCACTTTGCATCCTTGTTGGCAGACAGCAAGAGCCCCATAAATGTGCAGCCCCCCTCCGCCAGTCAGCCCACCTGCAGCTGGAGACACTCGGTAAGGCGAGACTGAGCCGGCACAGAGCCTGAGGGATCAGGGCCTTGCGGGAAGAGGGGAAGGATGGGGCAGGAGCTGCAGTGCTGGCTAGCGTCTGGAGGACGGCCTCTGAAGGTGGTCAGAACTCAAGGCACGGGCAGTCTGGCAAGCCCAGCCTTCCTTACTCAACTAACTCACTTTGGCTTCATGCATTATGTCTCGGTGTCAATGCCACAATGCGTGTGGAAAGCAAGTGGTGGTATGGTCCCATTTTGCTGTTGGACAAGTGGAGGCCGGTAAGTAGCAACGCCAAGATCAGCCCCTGGGATGCAGCCCAGGGTCCCAGAGGGCTTGACCACCAGGCTCTCCTGCCCCCCCCCCGCCTTTTATGCACGCTGCCTCCATGGGGAAGCCCCCTGCCCACCCCCTGAGGGCCTGCTCTCTGTACCCAGTGACGGAAGGGTGGCTGAGCATGACCCGGAGTCACAGTTCCCAGGCAGGCTGGCTGCTGGCAGAAGCGTTCCCCTGCACACTCAGAACTTGCACTTGGTGGAGAAGGGACAGGTGACCAGAGAGAAGCAGCGTGGGCCGCTGCTGCGTGCAGGGCAGCCATGCACCTGAACACCAACCTTCCCATTCCAGGAGTGAATTCTTTCTGTATGAACTCTTGTGGCCACTTTCATTTTACTCTTTTTCATAAAAAAAGGAGATCTTCCATGTGCTGGTTTGCACCCCCAGATGTCCACAGCAGCTGGGGCTGCGTCAGACCAAGCAGCTCGGAATGCATGTGTTGAAAATGGACCTCCTCAGTTGCTGATGCCTGTACGGTGGACAGCACGCCCAGATGCACTCGGGGGACATGACAGCCAGCTCGTCTAGGCCGGCAGAGGACATCAAGCGCCTCATAGAGGATGGAAAGCAGAACAGGTTGGACCACTCTCCTGGCCAAGCTTTGCGACACGTTGCTGGGCCTGTGGGTGCGCACGGTAGTGAATCTGTCAGCCAATCGATCTTGGAAGCTTCTCAGAACTATCCAAACCACTCCAGTAACACCATTGGAACATTCTTCCTACATCGGGGGTCTCCCTGTGGGTGGGAGAAGGGGCTCCGCAGGAAGCCAAGCCCCAAGTTAGAAGAAGGGACCTGCCTCCAGCACCCCTCCTGGCCAGAGACGGGGCTGGGGACGGCGACGTGGCATCACGGGCCCATGTCCGACAAGCCCCACCTGTCGGGTGAACCCCGGTCACAGTGCCAGCACCAAGGCTGGGAGAAGTTTTATTTCGGATGAGAAAGACTGGGGGCTGGAGAACGCAGCCC